GTGCCTCAGGGTAACTGTAAATGTTAATTCAAAATCATGTCTGATTTACAAGTACCTAAATATGTGGTAGTAGGATGAAGTTGTATGTAAAACACACTTTAAAGTATCACATTTGCAACTTATAAACATTTTATAAAACAAAAATTGTAAACAAGCAGTGATGGCTCACAAGCAGTGATGGCTCACATTCAGCTTGAAGGAGAGGTTTGGGAATTATGCCAGAAACACTGACAGGAACCCACCATACACTCAAACAGCAAGTGTAGGCCTGCCATGTGTGACATAACAAAAAGCTTCCAGCTTGCAGATGCATTGTAGTTGATGTTAGGCCCACAACACATGCTGAGATGAGGTTTCATGGAAAATTTCCTGACACAATTTGGAAATCTCACCACTTTGACAAAGGATGATCATTTTAGGAATTTGTCCTCCAGTGACAATCTCATGCTGTCATCATCACAGCACTGGATTTCACAAGCAGGTTCTTCAAATCTTAAAGCATAATAGCTTGAAGTTTAACTAAAGTAGGGAGAGGTGAAGGACACGGTCCACATGCCATAAATATTTCACATAAAAGCTGTGCATACATTGAAATTATTGCTAAAAATGCTTTGCTCTATTGCACATGCCCAGTATGGTCTGGAAAATCTTGAAAGAAAGGGAAAATAAAATATCTTTCAGGTCTGATTATTTATTCAGAACAAAAATTGAGCATAAAATAGCAGCATTATCAGACATCATTCCTTGTCTCGTTCTCTAAAGATCCATCTGTCTGTTTAAAAAGATGAGCTTGTCTGTCTTATTGTTCCGAAAAACAACATTGAGATTGGCCAGAATTAGCAGGTCAGACCTCATAATCAATAGTGGTCAGGAAGGCTGATTCCTGCTCTATTGACTATAACTGAGTCCAGTGTATTGAGAGTGGTGAGTGCTGGGGTAAGGTAGTGATTTCAATCTGAGGCTTGGAGGATGCAGACTGGAGCATCCTCAGTTTCCCTCAAGATGCCACCCTGGGCGGTTGCCCATGTCACACAAACAAGAAACCCACTGCCATAAAAGACTGTAGTTCATCTGTGAATTCCTTTATTGTGATTTTCAGGATTTTTTTGCAATACATTTCTGATGACAATATTGATAAATATGGTAAAAGTTCACATACAATACAAACACTTGATGCAAAATGTTTTAATTGTTACATCCCTATTACATATAAAATATTACAGCGATTAACTACATACCTTGTAGAAATTAAGTGTTATCGGCAGACTCATTGGTTTTGGGGGAGGAACTTGTGAACATGACCGATTGACATTCCTTTAATTTAATTATCTAGTGTGTCTGATTTGTTGAAAGATTCATGTTTTTATTACTTTCTTTTTAAGTTCAAATGACATTATGTCATTGAAGGAACAGTGATGAAGTGTATGTTTTAAGAAGTGCCACTTTAACTATTTTCAGAGATTGGCAGTAAGGCAGAGATTTTGTGTTTTGATGAGGTTTAACATCCCAGCTTTTTTAGACCAAAGTGGTTGCACATTTTTTTTTTCATTTGGCAGTAGGGTTTTGACCTCATTTAGAGATCTCATGGACTTCTTGTCCTGTCATCCAAAAGCTCCAGATGTTCTTCTGATGTTTTCACGTGAAATCTTGACTCGGTTTGGATCCTCAGAAGAACTCAGGTTATTTCCAGAAGTTTCAATGCAAGCTGCTTTTGGTAAAATGACAAAATCCAAAGCTTTTGTTTTTATCCTCTTGACTGGCGCTTAGCTTTTCTGTGACAAAGGATGCCCAGGGAGAGGCCCGCTGAAGAGAGAGACAGCTGTTGCCTGCTGTCACAAGCTGTTTGCTTACCAGCGGTAAAATAATGTCAGCTTGGTTCTACTGGCAAGAGCTGATTACAGTTTTCATTCCCTGGTCTTTTTATAGACAGGGACCTAATGTCAGTCATTGTTTGTGATCTAACAATCTCCTTTGTGCATGCCTGCAAAATTTTGTGCCTACAAATTATACATTTTGTACATGACTTGTATTGAATTGTAGGTTGAATCATTCTGGTCTTTGTAGGACTGATGGAACATGCAGAAAGGAATTAATGCCAGTGTTGTCAGGAGGTTACTTTGTACTAAGTTATGTTATAAACTGTCTTTTGGATTTTTAGTTGTTTTTTTATGAAAATTCAGCTTAAGCACCAAAGAATAAACAATTATTTTAAAAAATTGTGTTTTTGTTTCAAAGTTTTTGTGTTAACAGCATAAACTAGAAAAGATAACAGGTCTAAAAGTATACATTTTCATATTGATCTGGTAAATTATACAAGCAGCAAATTTATAATTTATAGACAAGTCAGTTTGAGTAAATACAAAGAAAGGCCTATAAAAAATATTCCCCTCCCTGAATGTTTCACCCTTTTCATTGATTTTTGCAAATCAGTCACAATCAACAAAATTTGCAACAAAATCATTTGCAAAATAACTATGAATATTTGACACAAAAATAAGTAATTGCTTCACTTACCATCTTCAAAATGACTGACCTAATTCAACAATTAGAGCTAGCGGTTTCACAAGGGGCAGAATGGAGATTTTCTGAATGCAGTGATTGTAGTCCAAAGACGTCTGTGTCTGGAAGGTCCACAGACTGGTTAATCAATATTCCTGGCTGTGATTACAGAATGAAACATCAGAACACTCCAAGGAGATCAGAGAAAAGGTTATTGAAAGTATCACTCAGGAGATGGATATAAAAAAAGTTCTAGCATACTGAGCATCCCTTGAAGTTCTGTTAAATCATCAAAAAATGGAAGGAATGTGGTTAATGTGTAAATCTGCTCTTCTCATAAGCACTGTATCAATCTTGTAGTGCACAAACCAGAAATTACTTGAATATTTCTTAAATTTTAGTTTTCTTAAATATTCAATTCTCTTAAACTTTTGCACATATTTTGACACTACAACCACACACGTCTGGATAATCTCTGTAATAGACCAACAAGGTGTGTACATACTTTTGTAAGGGACTAAATGGGTTGTGGGATTCCTGTCAGAAATCAGAAGCATAAGAAGTATATGGTGAGCTTGAAGAGCATAACAAGCTCCTGACACAATCATTAGCCGGCCTGCTTTGGTGCAAGGTGCAAATATGCTGCTTCAATAAACCAGTTAAGGGACCAACAGCATTGTGGATATTTGCAGAGTCAGGTTGTAAGACCGTGTGTGCGCACTGTTGTGGGGGTCGGTTCTGATGATTTCAAAGCAACTTTTGCATTAGTACAAGGTAGAGAGTTTCATTGTTTGGCCTTGTAATTGCAATGCACCGAAGGATTCTTGTGGAAGCAGAATGTGTGTGTGTGTGTATGTGCTGTTATGTGTCTGTGGTTATACCTTTATGATCCCATTTTTGGTGTATTTCTTGAGTTCACCCCATGCAATTGTTTTAATCTTAGTTTGCAGTGGTGTTTTGCTAAACATTGTCTTTAATCTTTTTATTCAATCATTTTATTTTAGTGGCAGTGTGGCTATGTGTTTGAATAAATACCACTGCCCTGCTGGACTTTGCTCTTTGTGTAGATTTGCTTGCACACCACCCATGTCTTGACCTTACTGTACTCACTCAGCTTGTAACGTGATTTATAGGGACAGTGGAACAGGAATTGAACACCTTCAAGGATGTTCAGCAGTTATATTGCGAGAGTAAATATGCCAAAATACTACTAATAAGCAATATTGGATCTTACATGACATTAACTGTGTTTACATGCGAATGAAGCTGAATGAAGCTGTCTTTCTGCTCATATGTGTTTTACTACAGCTTCATAGGCTTTAGTGTTGTGACACTCTCTCCCAACATTTCATTGTCTATGGTTTGTGGAGATAATTAGTAACAGTTATGTTGCAACAGGCTTAACAAACTCATGAGACTGACCACAGGGGAAGCAACCAGCAGTGTGACCCATTTGCTCAAGTCTTGTGCCCTTTAAATATTTGCTGTGTGGATGTGTCACACTTCTGACATTTGAATATTCTAAAACAGGCACTTATCAAACCTTTGTTAATATGCAGACAGTATATATAATTACATGAAACAAGTAAAGGATTTTCTGTGGAAGATTTGGTCAATCTTCTATGACATGGTAGATTAATTATGAAAAAATAGACGATGAACCCTCTCTGAGCATATGGAATGTGAGGAACAAACTGGGGCACTGTCTCCCAGTTCTTGTTCTCCCTTCCTTTTATAGGGGTAGCTCTAGGAAAGCACAGACAAACACTGTCTACCCAGCATTTCTGAATACTCCTTTATCCGTCTGTCATGTTGATTTCCTGCTTGGTTTGACCCTTGAATCAGAACACCATCATTTCATCCAAAGCTGGTTTATTTTCAACTTGACAAAGCATTTCAATGTCAGTGGAAATTTGCTAGTGGAAGCAAAAGTATAGATAATCCAACTCAAAAATTGATGGAACCCAATGTGTTTTAGACCAAAAGTGGATCTAATATTATTTAGACATACATTCTTTCTGAAGAAAGTGGATGAGGTTTTCAGATTTTTTTTTGTAAAGTCTGTAGCTGTATCAAATCAGAAATGCACTAATGTAAGATTTTGTGGCAATTTTTAAAACGATAATTTTTTTAAAATCTTTGATCTTCAAAATTGATTTTTGACCAGCTCCAGTTTTCCTTTAAGAATGATAAATAACAGTTGAATATTTGTTTTAGTAAACTCTCGTAATAAAATGAAATAGCAACTTCTCCTAAAACAGAGTTTGTTGCCTTGTTTGACTTATTTTCAAACATTCCACAGATGACGAAAGTCTTCACTCAGTGACAGCTTCCAAACCAGGAAGTGTTGTTGTCAATGCAACCTAGATTATTTGCATATGATGTGTTAACTGAACAAAAATTAATTTCTTGGTGCATCTATAGCACAAATAAATCTTGCTAATTTCCTTTTTTCTGCCTTATGATCATAAAGCCTTACAAATATGTTATGTTTATTCCAGGCACAGTTCTGCAGAGGCCAGACGGAATTTCATTGGGAACTATGGCTTATATCATAGTCGGTCCAACTCCAATTCTTCTTCCACGGCCTACGTCAATGTGGTGAGTTTCGTTCTGTAGGAAAATAATACATTTGCGTTTGAGTTCACACCTGTTTATTCTATTGATATCCCACATCATCATCATAAAATGTGCCTTTCAAATATTCAACTAATTCTGAGGTAGCATAACTGCATGCAAGGAAATGGAATATTTTTTTTCACTGATGTTTTTTCTTGCTTTTCCTGCTATTCAATATAAACTTTGAGGATCAACACACTAAAACACTGTAAATGTAATCTGTTGTAATATTGTTACTGTTTGCTGAATTTTTCCCCCTAATGCAGCAGCACTCTAACAGCTTTAGTGTTTGTAAGCGTATCATCCTCGCATCCTCTTTACTGTCATTATCCTGGAGAAAGACTGACTCAGTGCAATGTCTAGTCTTGGAGATTATTCTTTAAGTCCAAAAAATCTTCAACAAAACAAGAAAATGCCTTAGCAAAGACGACTGTATGAATAATCGCAGTGGATGGGAATAAGCAGGTGTGCCCAGCAAGCATGCAAAATAATTAAAAAGTGAAATGATTTTGCTAATTCAATTTAAAATACACAGCTCACATATTAAAATGACTCCTCATAATTAGAGTGATATGTTTCAAATGTTTACTATTGTTGATTCACATTTTTATGACTTAAAGTTAATGATTACACAATGTCTTGTTTCTAAGAAGCTAGAATATTTAATCAGACCACTTTAATGAAAGCATTTTGAAATTATTTTTAATGATGCAATATTGTTTGAAAATGTCAAATAAAATCCTTCGGAAGGAGAAAAGATGCCTTTGCTAATGGAGCTAGTTGTTCAGAGTGCTATCCAAACATTTTAATAGAATGCTGGATGGAAGAACAGCTTTGGTAGAAAGCAGCCTTTTGGTAGTTGTAAAACACCATTTTAGAGTTCAGAGGAGATTCCCAAAATGTGGACTGGACTAGAGTCACAGCCTTGAGAGCCACAACATACAGATCTATCAAGTTCATGCTCTACGTTGTTCTGTTCTGCTCCTTCTATTAAATCACTCCTGAAGCAAAGATGTTAGAAGTTTTTCCATCTGGTCTCAAGAGAAGAAGGAACAGACTGTTTCTGAGAGATCCAAAGTTCTTTTTTTAGATGAGGGTACATTTTGGTCTGGAAAATGTACCAGTTTTTACAATCCATGATGGGCAAGGAAGGCAGGTCATTGATGGTGTTGGTCCACTGTGTAGTCTTAAGTCCAAATAAAGGGCAAACATCTATCAGAAAGTGTCATGTTTTTTTTCTGCTGGCAAGCTACATGTAAATGCCAATTTTCACATTTTCCAACAGGACCTGACACCTACCCACTCTGTCAGCAGTACTAATACCTCCTAAAATGAGGTATTAATAGACCAGCAAATTTGTCTGACCTAAAATCCAACAGCATGCTGTGCTATAGACTCTATTGCATATAGTCAGTCTAAACCTCCATTGAACCTTAGGAGAGCCACAGGCTAATAAACCTCCATGCCACACTGCGTTGTTGCATTAATTCATGTAAAAGGAGCCCCAACTAGTATTGAGTCACTGTCCTGTGTTCCTGTATCTAAGATCCTTTAGTTTTTGGCATTATGTATTTTTGGCATTTGCCCAGAAACTGATTTTTTAAAATTTATTTATTTATTTTTTCTCATTAGCGCTAAGCCATCATTATTGAAAATAAGTGAAATAAATTCTTTAGGATATAACACCCTGCTTAAAAAATTAACACAAGTTTTATTTTTTTAAACTGAATGCCTGAAATATATTATCGTTTTCACATTATTGTAATTCAATTAGATGTACCTAGACAACAATACATGTTTCCTAAACACGGTTTGGAAAACTCTGGATTTCTTTCTACAAAGGAGTGAATATCATCATTGCAGGTTGGAGCAGAGCAGGTTGTTATCACAGTTCTTCTGAGCAAACAAGCAGAATGATGCAGTCTAATCCTGTGCAGGAATTGGTTCCCACACTACGCTTCAAGACTTTCTGTGGCACCCTTTGAGTCCCTGTCTATGCTGTCCAGTGTTTTATCTTCCACTTCCTTCTTTTTTTAATCCTAGCTTTTCTCTGTCATTTCATCATACTTTACTGCCCTACATTTTTGTCACTCAAAAGTTTACTAAAGCTCTTAAGTGCGAAGTCTCCTGACATATCTGTAGCGTGACTTAGCTAAAACCCTGTTATACTTCCCTGGGTTTGATCCTTGAGCTTCTCAGCTGACATGGTTTCGGTTGCACTACTTAGACTATTCACCCCACTCTTCCACCTCCACCTGCTGGCATCCAACGCTGTTAATCTGTAACCTGTTTGAGTCGGGAAATGGGTCAGCGTCGAGGCTGCTGACTGGCACTGGATGGGGCTGTTTACCTTCCAGCTTATAAGGGGCACCAAATGTTTAATATGTCTGGATTTGGCATGCAGGGAGAGAGATTTTAATGCCATAATCTCTGGGACGGTGGTTTTCTTGTCATTCAGCAGTGAAAGCTGAGGGATGAGTGAGGGATATTCACTGTGGCAGTTGTGCTTGGAAATCTGTGTGTTGCTGGTTGAGTGTTATTTTAGTTTTGCTGCAAAAATGAAGAGATTAAACGAAAAGCTTTGCATAATATTGTGCGCTGCTCCTGTTTGCCCCTGTGCAATCTGTTCCTGTGTTGAAACACTGTTTGAAAGTGGGAGCGCTTCAGTGATGTCACTTCCTCCAAAGCGTTGGTGGTTTTTAAGCATGTTCAAGTTTTTAGTCTGAATTTAAGCTAATAGAAAGCAGATGGTGCCATCTTTCACTCCAACTGGTCCTGATGTTGGATGTTTCCCTCCACAACCCTCTGTTGTTTTCATCTTCTATGAATGAGAGGATGATCGTAAAGAGGATCTGTTCGCTAGGTTGTGGTTTAGTTTCAGTAAAAAGTAATCAGCGTCAAACGAACAGTAGTGCAGGTTCCCATATCCGGACTGCGCCATTTTGTACACTTCCTCTTTAAAGTGGCACTTTTCAGTTGAGAGCAGGGTAAGTCTAACATATCTATTTGAGTTGTGCAGGTACTGACAGAGACTTTAAAGCTACATTTAAAACTCATATCTGTGGTGAGGTTAAATTGCTTACAGTTTCTGTTGCAGTCTCATCTGGCTTGATAGGGTGGATTATAATAGCAAAGTGTCGGAAGATTTATCAGTTTCTTAAATAACCGTACCTGATGTATACTGAAAACGTTTAAATAAGAGAATTCATTATGTTAAATCTTGGAGCATTTTTGTCTCTTATAGCCTAATAATAAAGCATATGAAAGGTCACAGTTTGTATCATCTGGCTGATCTGCCTTAAAAAGCAGATTTTGCAGAAATATGATCATCATCATTGAGAGCTGATTGAATTCTTAAGCAGTCTTCCTTTCTCCCTTGTGTTAACTCTGCAGAGCACCAGTCACAGATTACAAACATGCATGCATTAGCATTCATTATTTTTTTGGGGGGAGTTCATGCTCTGCACTAAAATAGAGAGAGGCTATGCTATGATGGTTGTTCTAGGTCTGAGTAAGAGTGCCTAATTTGGAATTATGTTGAGGCACACACCATCTCTGTAGAGTCAAGATGCTTCACCTGTGTACACTATATAATATCGCATAGCTCTTTTTTTTAATTGCTACTATTTTGTAGCTTGCTGATACAGGCGCTCGTGTCATTAGTTTTGCAGAGAAATGTGCTTCAGGGTGCGCGGATGTGCAAAAACATGTCTGCAGGCATACAGAATTTGCTCTGCCTGTAAGAGCTGCGTAGAACAATGACTTATGTTGTTGCTGATTTCCCCACCTCTCCTCTGTGCACATACTGCTCATGAGTGCGTGCATAACATATGCAATAATACCGCTGTGCTTTTATTTTTCTCTTTTCCACCTCCCTACATGTAGAGTTTTAAAAATACACTCTGCTAAACCCTTGTAGGAGAATAAGCATGATTAAAAGCTTAGATGTTTTTTTTTTGTAAGCTGTTCTGAATATTTATATGCAAGGAGATGCTGCTTGTCTTTTTTGCATTTGTCTTTGTAAACTATTTTTAAGATTTCAGAAGGAGACTCATGTTTCTGTAAGTTGTCTGTCTCTGCACCCTGTTAACAGACTGGAAAATATGCCCAATTTTCTTTTACGTTCCTGCAGGACCCTCTTTTTACCTGCATAACCAGCTTAGCCTGACTACTTAGACTTTCCTAATCAGTTGGGCATTTTGCTTCCAGTTCCCTTACAAAAAAGGCTCACTAAACATTGATCTTGGGGATTTGTTAAAGTGTGTATTCAAGTGATTATGCTAACTATATGCAGAATTGCCTTTATCCTTGAATGTTAAGATAATTATAGATTTCCTTTTGATCTGCTTGAGAGGAGATTGGGGTTTTAGAGTTACTGTCTAAAAATAGATTCACTAAGAGCAGAAAAGGCCCAGCTGTCTAACACAAGCCAAGTTTTTCCAGTTACTATTTATGTCGGTTTGTGTGTCTTTTGTTCCTAGACAGGTATGAGGTATTAGAAAATAGTCATGATTCAACTTGTTGGTCCTACCGCCCCTTTAAAAAAAAATAAAAAAATCTTTTCTGCTTACAGTGAATTACACAAGTATACATGCTAGCTGAACTTTTTCACATATTCTCAGATTACTACCATCAACTTCAATGCATTGTATTGCCAGTTTACACAATAAAGTAATGAATAACTATGAAGTAGGAGGAAAATTCCATATAGTTTCTCTTTTTACTAATAGAAATATAAAATGTGATGTGCACAACAGACTAGCTTTGTTGATTTATTTTATATCCACCTTTTTAATCTTCTAGATATTTTGGGGTATGTCTCTACTTCCTTTGCAACTTTTTCACCCATTCACCTGGTTGTGCTTATTCTTTGCAACAGATATTTCCACCTGAGCTGTGAATATCTGAAGCTTCTCCAGAGTTACAGTGGTCCGTCCTCTTGTCTGCTTTTCTGATTAACCTTTTCCCTGTCTAGATGAAAGTCTGTGGCCCTAATATTTTCTTGCTTTAATGTTGTTGAATGTTGCCATGGTGATCCAGGGTGCTCATACCCGGAAATATATGTAATCCTTTAAAGAAATCACAATTATTTTTTGGTAAAAAGGTAATTTCTCTTGAGATGCAAAGCTTTAATGTTTCCTTAAAACATTTGATTACATTTGCTGCTAAAATGCCTTAAGGTTCCTTTAATCTCCTTCCATCAGAAAACTTAACTTTCATATCTATGATCTATGGATTTCTCAGCCTCCGGCGTATGACGCAGTGGAGCCATTGGACCTGGAGGAGTTCCTGATGTCACAGTTAAGAAGTGAAGATTCAGATCTGATGCATGAATTTGGAGATTTTCCTGACGATGACCTGAAGGTGGAGCAGGTGGAGAAGGAGCGACGTACCATCCGGCACTCTGTCCCAGAGGATGGGTGGGTTATGAGCCAGAAAACATCAAGGAGAGGAAGATTTATATAATGGCCACAGTTTCACAATCTCTTAGAGAAAGACTTTAAGACACAAGGCTTTTATTGGAATGTTTTCTTTCATTTCGTAAACTATTTTGCAATTTTATCTTGCGAAACATGCGTGTCCTGCACCTTGACCATGACTTTCAGATAAGCTAAAATGTAGAATTAATGGTTTTCAGATGTCTCTGAATGTCTGCTTACATATTTGCGTGTCTGCATATTTTTTTTCTGTTCTCATTCCTTTCCTTTCAGAGGCGACTTAGATCCACATGTGAGAGATTGCGTGAAGAGTTACACCCAGCCGTGGCTGGTTGTTTCCAGGAGGTAAACTCTGCAACTTTGTTTCTGTCCAGTGATCTCCATTTTTCCCTGAATGACAAACATCAACATTCTGTACATCGCATGTTAATCCTTGTTGTCTGTGTTTGTGCATGTAAAGGTGCCAGGGGGATGGCTGGAGTGCATATTCAGAGCGAGTCGGCCTGCATAAAGTCCTGCATAAGCAAATCTTTGAGTCTGATTTCCAACCAGAAAACAAAGACAAACCAGTAAGAAGCCTACTTACTTACAGGACTGTTTGTATGACATTATAATTCCAGCCTGTTTTGAACAGTTTAAGCACAAAATAGACTGCTAATCAAGCTAACGTGAAACGCACTAATATTTGGTTGATTAACCTGAGTTTATAGAAGGTTTTCGGCCTTTATTCCCTTTTCAACAATGAACACAGTGAACAGTGAATGAACAGTTTGCGCAGAGAGGCTCAATGCAAATGCAAATGTAGTATTCCAGACATCACAGCATCTATTTGATCACATGACCACCTAGTATGTAAATATATTTGCATGTTGACCATTGACAATAACTGACAGTCAGGTAGACATAAAACCTGGTAATCATCTTTCCATTTAGCCGATGTGATAATGCAGACTTGGCATAATCTTTGTCATGTGTGCATGATTAGATGTCTCATTTAAGTAGCTATTGACCCTCCAGAAAGATGCCAATCTTGGCATACTTTGCTCCTCAGCATTCACTCAGCTTGCCACAATTGTTGCTGTTCACTTTCACATTGTTATGATGCCACTTGCAGTTGACTCTGGGCTATTTAGTAACAAGTGATCTTTACAATTTGACATACACAGGTCAGGTGGCATCCTCTCATAATAACAAATTTGAATTTCCTGAGGATGACCCACTCTATCACAAATGTTTGCAGAAGCAGTCTGCATGCTAAAGTACTTGTTGCACCAATGAAAGCAAAACTTCCCTCATGTTTTCAGTTAGTACACACAGCTGAACGGATCTCTCAAAATCCAGCTTGCTCCCATGTACTTGTGTATGGATAAATTAATATTTGTCCACTTTCCTTGTAATCAGACTGTTTTTTAAAGGAGCTGCAGGAAAAGCAGTCTCTTTATTTAAAGTGTCTTTTGTTGAAGACGCTTCACTAAGAGCAGTATGGCAGCCCATACTGATGAAGGCCTGAGAAGCATGAATGTGAAAAGCATGGGGGTGGGTTCTTTAATACCGAACACAACAGTGTGTTGTTATTCTTATCACTCCCTTCACTGTGAGAATGGCGCTTTCAAGTTTATTTTGCCTCGTTGGCACAGAAATAAAACATACTATTTTACCAATTTGTTTAACAAAATAAGTTCTCCGTGTTGTAAAATGTGAAAAATTCTGAATTCACCAACCACTAACAAGCTGCTCAGGACACTGCCTCATTTTCCTAGTGGTGATTTATTAGGCCAACTTCCCAAGCTGGCCTCTCTGTACTTTTTCTGTCACAGAGTGACCAAATCCCTGGCTCCCACAGTTAGGCTGTCCCTGCCACCCAGCTCCCTTAAAGCACCACTTCCAGCCACTGCTTGCTCTGGTTAATCATCCAAAACCAAAGGCCCCCTATTACTGCTGCAGGCTTCCCATCATGTCTATGCCAGATAGAAAGAGAGAGGGGAAGAACAACACTATTGTCCCCTGTCCTTGGTCCAATCTGTTTCAACAAAAGCCCGGGGTATGTGGTATGATGGACTCCTGGAGCCTTGACAGAGCGAAGCTTTACCAGGGTGGCTGCTCGGTCAGACTTACCCTGTAGTGTAACAGCTTGGATCTGGGCTTGATGGATGATGAGAGTGAAAAAGACAGCAAGAGGGGGGGTGGCATGAGAGAAGGTCCTCATCATGCAGTGCAGCTACAGAGGAGTCATGCCATGCCCAGTAGCTTGGTGTTCTTGCGAGGAACAGAACTTTCTCTTTAAACACAAAAGTTATTGAAATTAAAGAGTATTTTCTGATCATCATTTCATTTCATCATTTGGATTAAATGGATGAATGAATTAATTTCTTTACTTTTGCATATACATAAGAAACTGTCACAAAAAAGATGGATTGTCTTTTTTTCAACTCAGGCTTGTGAAAATATAATCTGAAAACATGGCCTTGTCCCAACACACCGTCTTCTGGGGTTGAAATCCTGGGGTTGCTCCAAAGAGCTCGTGTGTAAACACAGTTTAGGAAATGACCTAGCTGTGACAGAACGTTTTAGGAAGGTTGTATTATTTTAAGATGGCTTCAACCAATCTGGAAGTACTTTGATACTACAAGTGGGTTTATTTTTCAGACATGATCAAAGATGACTCTAAAGGGCCTCTGAACATATCTGTATATCGAAAAAGGAAATTCACTTGATTAGTGGAAGTTCCCGATGCTTTCTTCAGTCCAGATGTGTTGCTTGCAGCGTTTTGGTTGTCAAATAATCATCAACTCCAGAAATAAATGAACACATGAGTTCTGTACTCTGTGCTGCTCAGGACAAATTGACTACATACGTCCTGTGTGTCCTGGAGATAACAATAGAGACAGCTAGCTTAAAGAGTACAGTAGGAAAAGTGTCAGCTTCATTCAGTTTTTCTATATAGCCCCAATTCACAATAAATATTGCCTCAAGGCACTTTACATAAACGATGGCCATCTTTTATTCATTAATGATTTTTCTCTCAAGTATTTTCATTCCTGTCACATGAATGTGATTCTGCTGCTCCCACTTGGATCATTCCTGCACACTAACGTGTCCTCCTCCACGTGTCCTCCTCCATCTTTGCCTCAGGTCAAGTCCCCAACTCTTGCAGGGCTGAGCGATGACTCCAGCCGCACACTGACCTCGTGTGATTTTAATTTGCGAAGCCTGACTCCGGACCAGAGGGTAGAAGGACTGCTGGCCTTCAGCAGCCATGAGGAGCTGGATCGCTTCAACCAGGAGGCGCGGCATGCAAAAAGACATCCTGAGGTGTTTGCGCTGTACCCACCACCTGATGAGGTGAAGTATTCACTATTTAGCTGTTTAAATATGGATAGTTCACATGTTTAAATCAACCAAAGCAGTTAATCAAGGTTTTATTTGTGGAAACTTATGCAAGTTTCCACAAAACTTGTAGTATCAAACTTTTAATATAAATCTTAACTCTGAGCAGATTTGAGCTTCATTTTAGTTTCCACATTTGCAGAACATCAAATATTTAGGAAAATCGGCACTTGCATTGTGCAAAAACATTTATCTGAAAATATACATTTTCTTCCGGCTCATCTACATCTGCTTTTCATTTCTTGCTTCTTTTTGTTTTTGTTCTAGGACGATGCGGTGGAAATCCGGCCCATTCCCGACTGCCCCAAAGAACACATTGGAGAACGCATCTTGATTCGATGCCAGGCCATGAAGTATGTCATGCATTTTCATTATATTGTGGGAGGGAGAGTGGTCCTATCATTTCATCAGCTGCTTTCTGTTCATTGTGCATGGCGGGCAAAGAGCCAACAGTTGCTTGTTTTAAAGTGCAAATCTTCAAGCACCCAATAATGTATGAAAGTAAACTTTAGAGATTGTCATTTATGAGTCTAAGTAGATTAATAAAAATGAATTCATTCTGACAAAGCAATCCATCAGGGTGGAGAACTGCTCTGTGGAGGGGTTCCTCCCTAAAATGTCTGTATTCCTCTCCCTACTTGCTGAATTTTTCTCTGTCTTACACACACACGTACACGCCCATGTACACACACACACACACACACACACACACACACACACACACACACACACACACACACACACACACACACACACACACACAGACCACTCACATTTTTTCGGCCTTACACTTTTCATAATGCCTGTCCCTGTGCAGCCCATACAGCTGCCAAATGTCTGGGTTAATTTCTCAAATTGCAGTGGTTTGGCATCATACTATCTGACCCCTTTTCAGCATGTCATCATTTAGCATTGGGACAATTGGTTCCTTCCTGTCACGACTGCCGTTTACAGGAAGAAAATATATTCTGAGCTCAACTGTAAAAACAGAGTTCCAGTCATTCGCTATAGTTAATTTGCATATTTCCTCTTCTTCCTTCACTTCAAGGTTTGAAATCGACATTGAGCCCATTTTTGCCACCATGGCCTTATATGACCTGAAAGAGAAAAAAAAGGTAAGAAAACTCATTATTTTTGCAGAATAGCTCCTCTTATTAGGTAGTACTGGTCTATCAGGTGTGTCCCAGTGTTCTCACAGATGATTTCATCACATTAATTCTAATACTAGTGATAGTCAGTCAGCTATATTCTTCAAATCTTTGTAAAGATGTAGGATTTGGGAGGAGGTCTCACTTTTCATCTAGTTTGACTCAGGTTGAGCTACTTTGTATGACAGAATCGGGAAAAAAAAGTTTTCGCTCCATCAGATCTTTCAGACGTACTGAAAAAAGAAAGCCATATTGTATGGCAATTGGCAGCAATGAATTGCCTCCGGTGATTTGAACAGAGGCAATATGACCAAATAAATCTTTAGTTTTAAAATGACTGACCACTTGTAAACGAATAGCTTAAGAAACGTCTGGATTTACATGAGCGAATATTTTTTGGGAGGAAAAAGAATGGAAAGATTATGAACATATTGACCTCTAAAATGAGACTTTTCTATTGACCTTTTTAGCTATTCTGCTCTCCTGGTTTTTTGCTGCGTAGCAAGATCAACAGTTTTATGATACTCCAGTGGGTAGAAGAGAAGAACTGAAAATTACCACCACAGAAGGAGATTTACTAGTGTATATTTCAGGATGATTCACCAAATAAAAGTCTGTTATTGAGACTAGTAAAAAGCCTGTGAACCACTTAATGTTTTATTGCTCTTGTATGCAGAAATTGTATTTAGAATTGTATGTCAAAGAACATTTGAGAAGAAAACAAGACCCATTGCGTTACAGACTCCACACAGTACTTAACAGCACCTATATACTCATCATTCAAATTGCTAAGTATTTGTTTCTGAAAAGTTTAATCTTGGTCTCATTGTACCAAAGTGAGCAATTACATTTAAAAATACAACAGTATTTAGCAGACGCAGCCTGCTAAATACTGTTTCTGTCCTACAGAGGGGGCTCTTTCCTGGTAGGTCTCTCAAATAATCGATTGGCATATCGACAGCTGGTATTTAGACTATATGACACTCTGATTGACTTTAAGAAATAAAGGTGTTAAATAAAAAAATGGAGAGAGAGGCAATTTTAGGGGTCCCTACAAATGTGGCAATACCCACTCACCTTAAATAAATTATATTGAAAGCGGTTTTCAAAATGATAGTTAAAAAAAAAGCCAATTTTCTTTCTAAGCTTTTTAAATTAATCTTTACCAGGAGCACCAATATGTCCAGAGAGCACACTAAGTTAAAAAAATTATTGCAAATAATGTGAAGTTGCAATTTTGATACCGTATCTTTGTGGCAGTGAAACAACTTCCTGTCTATTGCTATGAGTAAAAACAGAGGCTGACTGTTGAAAAGTCATGAAGCATGTCTCAATCTGCATGTTGAGGAAACTGTCACTCTTGTTTTGTCAGAGATAATTACAGTTGCAACTACAAACCGATCACTTTTGACCTACTTGTCTTTAAAATCTTCTCCTTTTTTTCCTCGACATATTTCTGAAGCTCTCCTCAGTGTGCTTGTTGAGCCTGTTTTTCTCTGTTTTCAGTGTTGTGGTTTAAAATAGGTTATTGCTTGTGTTGTGTTTTTTCATGCACCTCTCAGGCTGTTTTACGTTTGTGAAATCTGCAGCAGATGTTCATAAAGGTCCACTTAATACTCTGGGTTATTAAAAAATGTCCTTCTTAGAGCACAGAGGCAGGCTTTGGCCCAACAAGCGACCTACTTATGATTTCAAATGTGCAGATGTAAAACAGACAGAGGTTTTACGTTAGGCATGCAACCAAAATGAGCTTAATTTTACAGCAATAAAAAAATAGATTCTTTACAAGTATTCCCTAATAAGAATGATATATCAATCCTGAAGACCATTCCTCTGTAGTCAGCAGTATAAGGTCAGACTCATGCAGTTTATGCACAGAAAATAAATAAGCAGGCATTCTAGATTTTTTTTTTCTGCAGCAGTTTTCACAAAGATTTGTTTTGATTGAAGCTGTTAGAAGAGGAACGTGCTACGCAGATGCTAATTCAAAGGCGCCAGATGTTCTTCTTCTGACAATGCAAAGCTTGTTGGTGCAAGGCGGACACTTCACTCTGTGACCAGAAACGATGTCATGTTGAAGAGGGGTTATTACATTCCATGTGTCTCATTTCATCACAGTTTAATAGTGATTTGCAATAACGATTCTCTCTGAATATTAACATAGTGAACACTGGGCCTTTGCTTTACTTTTAGTGAGTGAGTGATGCATGTCTAACTCGTCATCTGGCTCATATTAGCAAAAGATGAATAGTTTTTTAAAATGTTTCAAAAGTAAAGTAAGAAAAGTATAGGATGCAATTTATTCATTACGTTTAGTCTGATAAACAGAAATAACATACACTGCAACTATTTACCTACAGAAGTCCAACTAGTTGTTGAGTTTTCAATGATGGCTGAAGATAGGCACCAGCTTTCTGGGTAATCCTGCATATATAAGTGGGTGGATGTCTTGCAAGAAAGTGTATTTATCATAAAACATATTGCTTTAAAACCAGTCAATATGCTATGAGATGTTTTGTAGTAGAAAAAAACAGATTAGACAAAAAGACTGCTGCAAAAAACTTATCTAAGCATGCAGGCTGAGCAAAGTTAATCTTGATGATTTCTATCTACCAGCCATGACGGGTTTGGTTTGTTTGAATGTGTGCTGCTCTGGTCAGTGCAGCAGAGGTATGTGCAGTATTATGGACAGAGGTCAAAAGCCCTGCAGTGACACACAGCAGGTACAGCCTGCAGATCAGCCTGCAGGCTGTATTAAAAAAGGGAGAAGAGAAATTGCTGAGTGCTGAGTCAGTAGGGCTTTCTAATCAATTTATTGAGTTTGCTGCTTGTCTAACATACTACTCTTCTCTTTTTAAAAAAAATCATGTTTCTTTCATTTCATCATCCAGATATCAGAGAACTTCTACTGTGATCTTAACTCAGAGCAGTTTAGAAACTTCTTGAAACCTCACACTCCACATGTGGATCACTCCACCTTGGCAAGGTCTGCCATCTTCTCTGTTACTTACCCGTCCCCTGATATATACCTGGTCATCAAGGTAAGAATAAAAACCAAAATCCTTTAACAGTCATGTGAAAAACAGCCAAGATTCCTGGTTTTAAGTAAATCCTGTAGTTGAAATATAAAATATACTGCGCACCTTGTAATTCAGTGCACTGTGAACCTTTGCCAGTAAGATATAGATTTTTTTTAGGGGGGTTATATGTCGCAAGCTTCTCTGGTTACTTTTGTACTTCCTGTCTGTGTTTCAGATTGAGAAGGTCCTCCAGCAAGGAGAGATTAGTGACTGTGCTGACCCCTATTTAACAATGCGGGAGAGTGACTCTACAAAGGTAAAGTAGCAGAACAATCTGTTTGTTGTGTCACCAGACTCACTTCACAGAAACAAGCTGGTCTGTTTCCTTCTTCCCCTGGTAAAACCAATGATTCTTGTGGGTTCATTAATAACTCTAAAATTAAAGTAAAGATTTGTGGCTTTCTTTCTTTTTTTTTTAGAACAGAGACAAACTTGAGAAATTGAAGAGCCAGGCGGAGGCTTTCTGCCAGAGGCTGGGCCGCTATCGCATGCCTTTTGCTTGGGCAACAGTTAACATCATGGAGGTCATCTCTCAAACTGCTGCCTCGGACCGCGATGTCACGGATTCTGACGGCGTAAAAGGAGGTGGTTATGAGTTTGTCCACAGAAGAACCTGCTCCAGACTAGAGTCATTTCCTGCATGTGGTTTTTCATCACATTTTGGAGATTCACCAGATGATCCAGATTATGTTTTATTTTAAATGAGTACAAAGTATTCTTGGGCACAACTTTTAATGCTTCCTTCACAGCATTAAAAAGTAGAAATATTTGTATATTTCACATAAGAGACACATTTTTCAAATGAGGATTTTATGAGCATCGATGTCCTGTCAAGTCCTTCTTATCGACTGTATTAGTATATTGCTGAAGTAAAAAAACAGGAGAGTGGGAAGAAATGTCAGACCAAAAAGATTTCTGAAAGCCATGTCTTAAAAAAAGATACAAAAAAGCAGCAAAGACCAGCACAGGCTCTGGTGAGATGTGGGAATTAGTGCCAAGCCAAGATGAAAAGCGAATGGCAGTGATCTGCAAACAACTGCAATTGTCTATAAAACTGTCAAGTGGTTTAGACCCTTTTCTAAATTAATACGTCTGGATATTCATAAGTGATATCATCATTTCTCAACAAATCATCTCCTGCATGTCAGTTTTTCAGCTAATTGTACTCATTTGTTCTCTTGCAGTTTTGAAAAGTCTTTCCACATATTGTAAAAAAAGACATAGTTTTGTTCAAAAACCTGTCATAATAAATTCATTATTCACTGAGTTAATATTCATTCAGTTTTCTTCTCTTTCCTGAAGGTAAATCCAGCAGCATGGACCGGAAAACGCAGCTCCCCAGGAGGAACTCCGAGCGTTTCACCAGCATGGAGGAAGCATGTTATAACGTTCACACTTTCAAACCTGCAACCATCACTATCACAACGATTTTCAAACAGGTTAGACAGCCAAACACAGAAATCAGGCTTTGTTTTCTTTTAAAGCTAAACTCTACAAGATAAATGTCACAAAGACGAGGGCGTGTACCAGCTTGCCCCTGCGGCCCATTATGAAAAGAAAAACACACTAAATGCTTCAAGCTCTTTCAATGTTTCTGCTTTGTAGTTGCGCCTTTTGTAAATTAATAAATATTGCATGTGTTTATGTTTCAGGAAGGGGATCGTCTAAGTGACGAAGATTTGTTGAAATTCTTAGCTGATATTAAGAAATCCTCAACTCCACAAAGAAGGATCAAGACAATACCAGGTTTTTCCTCATTGCATTTAACTATTTGATGTGTTTATTGAATCTCATGCAGCAGCTTTTATTTATTTATTTATTTTTGACAGAGAGTAAAGAGGAATAATGCAGCTAACAGTTCTCCTTAACAGTTCTCCAATGTAATGCTATCAAACTGATTAAAAAGTGTTTTTTTTCTAATATAGAGGTATTGATCGGATCTCATTCATGGCCAGAAAGTGCATTTCACTGAAGGAGTGTTTTTTTTCCCCATCACCCTCTCTAATTATTGGGTGTCTGCTTCTTGGCTGACGCAGTATTTAATGTGCCAGAGAAGCAAATTTAAATGATCGTGTCTTCCAGGTTGCATTAAATTGGACATGTCTCCCATCCACGACACGCCGCAGGCCTGCCTGTCCACCGAACTCATCCCACTCATACCCGTGGCTGAGAAAAACATCCGTCCCGTCAAAGAGGTGCTGGAGTTTCCCTCCAGTGAAGTTTACGTCCCTCACAACATTTACAGGTGTGTTTGGCGCCTGTTAGAATAGAAACCTTTTATCATAATTGTATATAACAAATCTTTTTGGAAGTAAAACAAAATTCAAAGGCTACATCAAAGTGCTGTTTGGCTCTACTATCTTCGAAAAGGAAAAGAATAAAAAGGTGCTGTTTTGTTAATGTGCTTTGCTGTGCTGAGGCAGGGAAGACTCTTAATTGCATTTTAGAGAAGAGAGACTGCAGCCCATGATCTTTTGCTCTTTTTTGATTGCTCTCTTCCAGTCAAAGGCACAATAGGTTAGGATGATCTCGATGGAGGACCGTCAGAAGGTTATGAGCAGCTTCTGGTCGATTTTCTCCTTCTGGAGCAATCTCAGGAAGTGCAAATATTGCATTGCCTTCTTAATGAAGTGGTGTTAGCAAACCCTGAGAGGCAGGGAGAGATTTTCCTCAACTTACCACCAGACAACTAAAATATATTTGCTACAGGAGCGCCATCTAGTGAATTTTTTTGTAATTGCTTTCTTTCACTCACATATTTCTTAGGATTTTTTATTTTTTATGTTATAACCAGGAAGTCTCATCCAGACAACTAAAATATATTTGCTACAGGAGCGCCATCTAGTGAATTTTTTTGTAATTGCTTTCTTTCACTCACATATTTCTTAGGACTTTTTATTTTTTATGTTATAACCAGGAAGTCTCATCCTCATTTTCTTTGTTTGTCTGTAGGAACCTGCTCTATGTGTATCCCCAGAGACTGAACTTTGTCAACAGGCTCACTTCAGCAAGAAATATCACCATCAAAATCCAGTTCATGAGTGGAGAGGACCCCAGTTGTGTTCTGCCTGTGAGTGTAGCTGTTTAAAATCATTAAACACGTTGAACGTTGACATATTGTGAAATGCATTCATGTTTTTATTCATTTTTATGTTCCTTTTTACTTTTAGGTTATTTTTGGGAAATCCGGCGGTCCGGAGTTCTTACAAGAAGTTTACACACCTGTTACATACCATAACAAGCAAGTACTCATTATTGCATATAATCTTGATACCTTAAATGTTGTGACATTCCAAAAATATACATACAAGTATGAATGAATGAATGAATAAATTAATTATTAAAACTTGAAATTTGAGAAATTTCTTACTGTGGTTCATCAGCATGTATGTTTTGAAATATTTAGTCCATAAAGCATATTCATTTCTCAGTTTATTTTGTAACATCTTCCCCTGTTAGTCATATTTTTTCTTTGTTTTATAATATTCATTTTGTTACATTTCAAAGGACTTTAGTCTGTGTCTCCACTTCTCCACTCACTTCGCCCTACTTTATTTGAATACTTGTTTGGTAAATCTTTTTTCTCATCTTCTTTTTTTTTTTTTTTTTGTTCTCTTTTTCTTGTTTTATTGTCTTTCTCAGGTCTCCAGACTTCTATGAAGAGGTGAAGCTTTCCCTTCCAGCCCGTCTGACGGAGAGACATCACTTGCTGTTCACTTTCTACCACATCAGCTGCCAACAGAAACAGAACCAGAGCGGCAACTGGGAGACCCTAATTGGATACTCTGTGAGATTTAGCTTTTCTCTGATGACACTCCTCGTTTCAGTCTTGAAGTCTTCAGTCTGTAACTATGCTGATCTAATGAATCTGGTGATTGCCTTTGGTGCAGTGGTTGCCCATCCTGAACTGCGACCGGCTGCAGACTGGGCAGTTCTGTCTGCCCATCGTTCTGGAGCGACTTCCTGTCAACTACTCGCTACACACTCCAGAGGTACACACAATTAAATATGTGAACTGCAAATGTAGCCAGAATACTTGGCTACATTTGTGTTAAGGCTACATTGACAAAATTAACATGACAGAATTTTTCAAATTTTGTCATGTTGTAGCCACAATCTTGGTGGAATTTATCTTGATAAAGCTGGCAAAGATGCATCACTTCAGGCACTAACACATTTACTTTCGAGTTTGTTGATTTCCAACACATAACGGAATAAATAGGATTTTAAAAAATTAATTTAAAGGTGTTTCTAATAAATTTTTTGTGGTGCAATTTTTATCTATTTAAAAATTGCACTTTAAGAATATTTTTGCAGACTGAAATAAAAAAATTTTTCTCCCGTGTTTCTTGTAGAAACTTCCACCCCAGGTCCCTCCGGTCAAGTGGATGGAGAGCCACAAAGGGCTTTTCAACCTTGAGGTCCAAGCTGTATCGTCTGTTCACCCTCAAGTAAATACAAATTTCAAAGTTTTACTGGTTTCGCAGACCAGATAGATCATCTTCAATTACAACCTCTTTTTGCTTTCTAATACTCCTTTCTGCACCCTTTTATTGTGACTTGTCTGAAACAACCATACTGCACCAGGACAATCACTTGGAGCGTTTCTTCACCCTGTGTCATGCGCTGGAAGGTGGAACTACATTCCCTGTGCGGATCAAGGACGAGAAGATTCCCGAGAACAAACTGGAACCTGAGCTGAAGCTCAGCATCGTATCTTTGTCCTCCTCTAATTTAGAGCCTCTGGTGCTCTTCCTCCACCGGGTACTGGATAAACTTTTCACCCTCATCATGCAGCCTATGGTCATAGCTGGCCAAACTGGTGAGATGCCACTTAAAATAAGATGTTTCTCATATTTTGTCATAGTATAACAAAATTGTTTTATCCTTTTACTTATAATTTCTGATTTTTCCATTTCTAACCATATATGTGTGCATATTTGTGCACATGTCCCCTTTTTTTAGCCAATCTGGCCCAGATAGCCTTTGAATCGGTGGTGTCTATTGTCAACAGTCTTCACAACAGCCAGGAGCTATTCAGGGACCAGCTGGGAAGAAATATCCTCTTAGCAACCTACCTTTACTGGGTCTTTCGTCTTCCTGATCCCCCCCGAGACACACAGAATGCCGGTAATGTCCTCATCATTTCAGTCACTGGAGTGCGTTTACTGCCAAAATCTCCAGATTTGTGATTTCTATGTTTTCTTGGGGCCTTGACCTCAGGTCCAGCAGGTTCAGCTCCATCATCAGACAGCCGTTACATGACCATAGGTCCGGCTACGGCTGCCAGAGTCGGCAGCATGCTCCTCCAGTCCCGGGCCCGCAGCAGCAGCAACCCCGACATCCCTGCTCAGCAAGCTTCTGAAGAAGATGCAGAGATCAAAGATATTCTCTCTGCAAAGGTAATAATTAATTTGACCAATACAGATGCAATTTGAAGTGTGAAGTGATCTATTTCAGTTTTCACTGAATGTATATCTTTTACCTGATTGTTATATAAAGGATCACAGAGTATGGCATGCACTGTATAGAGGAGACGTTTTTACATACATGTCATAAAAACACCCTTGAACTTTTTTCCTCATTGTTTAATAGTCATACAAAACTTTTTCTGCTATTCACATGGGATTAACAAAAGTATTCAATTTGCTGAATATTTTGTTTGTGGAAAAGTGACGTCGTGCATGCTAGCTGGATAACGACACTGCCCTGCATTAGCTTTAGCCAGCATCTTCACAAGGTCTGTTGCTTTTGCATCTCTAAGACACAGAACCCATTGTGTGTCTAAGAGATCAGACACAGAATGGTCAGACTTGATACAGATGAATGTTGCATTTTCTGGAAAGGATGAACCAAGCTTGTGAGGGTCCACAAGCATCTTCATGCTATCTTTGCTGATTTCCTTAAGGGTTTTCTATGATTTCACACAAAGAAGAAGGATGCTTAGCTGAAGATATGTACGGCTCTGTTTAGCTCAAATGTTAATTATCCCTTCAGAAGCACATCGAGCCTGCACATTGTTATCTGGCCATTTTAACTTGCATAGCAACAGTAATTTATCTACACTTCTGACTTTGAAGAAAAATAATAAGTAACACTCAAATTGTGGCATATTCTTGGTAATATGTGTCTTGAAACAGAAATAGTTCAGACGGATTTAATGTGAAACAGTTGGAGGAAAAAAAATCTAATGCATGTTTGACAAAGTGTATGTAAATATCTGGTTCTGTCTGTAAACACCCCAACTTTTCCGTTTATACAGAATTTACTCTTCAGTCCCTCTCTGTGTGTTAGGTATTGTAATAGGCCACCAGTTAGCCAGTCTAATGAAAATATCCATCATAGTTTGATGGAACATTTTGTGTGCAGGGCCTCAACTACCCGGGCAGCCGCGTGTCCACCTATGTGGAAACCAGCAACTATCAGAACTCTGCAGGAAGCACAAGACCCTCCAACAGAAAGGTACCGACTGAAAGAACAGAAAACCTGAAAAGCATAAAATCTAGTGTGACATACATGTTAATTTTTATTTGGAGAATGAGAGGAAGAGAGAATTTTTTTGGGGGGGAAATAGAATAAGGACAGGATACTATACAGAGAGTTCAAACAGCAGCTCCTGGTCATTTGAGGACTAATTTTTTCTTCTTGCTATACCCTACTATTGTCAACAATAGTAGGGTATAAAATATGACCGCATTTAAAATATGACTGAATTCTTTATGTTGGACAAGAGGACTTAACTCTTTTAGGAAATGACAGTTTTAAGTTATAATCTGTACACATACAGAGGAAAGGTGTGGAAAAACAAAACAAACACCTACAGTCTGAAAAATTCACCATCTATTATCCTCTATTAGCCACAAGGTGGGAGTGTAACATTGAGGACATTGTGGTTGATTAGAGTTCAACACTGTAGGTGCACTATTTTTCCCTACATTTTATTTTTTCTGTTACAGCAATTTCATGAGGAGCTGGCTCTGCAGATGGTTGTCAGCACTGGCGTCTGCAGAGAAAACGCTTATAAATATGCCTGGTTCTTCTTTGAGCTGTTGGTCAGTGTCAATTTTTTTCTATCTTTTACGACTCCATGTTTGAATTTAACTTACAAGGCAAAAAGTTAAATACACATATGGCTTTAAATATTGGTAATAAATGGTGTTTATTTAAAAAAAAAATATCCAAAGGATTCAAATTAAACATTGACATTACTGTTGATGCCGACAGTTGCTGTTTGGATGTTTTTAGGATTGCACAGCCTGGAAGGGGGCAACATGGAGCAAAAGAAAAAATATGTTTTTGTGCAGAATAGAGTTTTGTATTGCTCATACACATGCCCAATAAATTCTAATGGCAAAGTGAAGAAAATACTCCTGTACTCCACAGGTGGCCTGTGACATTGAAATTGGTATACAACTTGGATTTTAAAATTCAGAACCAAACTATTGTTTCTTTTAAGGAGTCTACATTGTTCTCCAGCTGAAAATGTTTAATGTTCAGACCTAAACTTAAGTATTTTATTTGTAAGAAATTCTTTCATTTAAGCAAGATTTAAGATTTATCAACCCTTTCTTGTAAAAGAACAAACACAAAAGATAATTTTTCAAACTTGAGCTGAATTCTCGATTGTGACTACATATGCTATAAAAGTCAGTGTATAGGTGAAACCACAAATGTATACTATAGTTTATTACAAGTATTGTTAAAATCTGTATATTATTTAATATCCTATTTATATTATATTAACTACAGTTGTACATAATATAATATAAACAGGGCAACATTTTTGCTGGGTTTGCCTCTGATAACAGGAGGGTTTAATGCCTCTTCCTTATAACATTTTAAATGCCTTCTGTGTTTATTTTTCATCAAAATTAAGACGTTTCTACTCCACTAAAAATGGGAAACTAAAATACGACAATTCTAATGTTTAACAACATGTATTTTAAATTCTCCATGCTGTCAACCAATTTCCATATACTGACTGTGTGGTTGCTGCATGTGTTTGGCTTTTTTTTTCCGCTCCATGTTTTCCTGATGTGTGATTCCTGTTTGTTTCCTGTGTGGCTTGTGTAAACAGGTGAAAAGCATGGCTCAGCATGTGTCTCAGCTAGACAGGTACACTGTCCCCCGAAGGAGCCGCTTCTCCGACAGATTCAAAGATGACGTCACCACCATCGTCTCTGTGGTCACAGCAGAGATTTGCACAATCCTTGTCAAACAACAAAAGGTGACAAAATATAAAGACATTTATCCGCTGAGCCAAGTGAAGCAGATTCCCTCAACTCGAGTCCCAAAGCTGTTTAACAGAGGATCCCCTCCACACCTTCTGATCTCTTGAGTTGGGCTGTTTGAGTGTTCATCTTCTCTGTGTCCTCTAAACAACAGGGAGCTGGAAGTGCTAATTAAATTTGTCTCTGTGGTAACAAAAGCTTGGCTTGCTCAGCTAGATGCTTGTCGAGATCCGGTCAGTGCAGCTTACTGATTGCTGTTTGTTGACTGTTGTTTCAGGAGGTAGAGCAAGCAGAGAAAATCAACATCAGTCTGGCCTTCTTCCTCTATGACCTGCTGTCCCTCATGGACCGAGGGTTTGTTTTCCAGCTTGTGAAAAACTACTGCAACCAGGTGAAGTCGCACTCAGACGCAAGCAGAAGCATCATTTTAGATTTAATATATACAATTTTGTACAAGGTAACATGCCTTGGAGGTAATATTGACCATTCCTCTTCTTTTTTTCACTTGTAGATGTCTGCTAAGAGTGTTTCAATGCCAACTTTGATCAGCATGCGCCTGGAGTTCCTGCGAATCCTCTGCAGCCATGAGCACTACCTCAACCTGAGCCTCTTCTTCAGCAGCCCGGCTTCTGCGCCCGCCTCTCCCTGCCCGTCCATTTCTTCGCAGGTGTGCCCACTCGAGTGGAAGATTTCGAATTTGTATCCAAGGCCATCAAATTTAATGCCGTTTTATAGCAAAGCACATATTTTGCATAACACATCATGGCTGTAACTGCAAAGTAACAAAGCTGCAGAATACTTTATTCTGGAAATACCATAAAGAGGAGTGTAGAGACAATATCGGATCATTCAGTCAACATGTTTTCAAAAATTGCAGTTACTTCTGGTTTCTGACCGTTTCCCTCCATTTCATTGTTTTGTTTTTTTTCCATTCAGAGTTCTGGCTCCTACCAGGAACAGCAGAGGATCTTGGCGTTGTTTGATCTGTCTCAGGAATTCAAGCAACAGCATTACCTCACCGGTCTGCTCTTAACAGAACTTAGCGCAGCACTTGACATGGAGTCAGAAGGGTAGGGAGGAACTCTGTCAAATTGTTTCCAATTGTTTTTTTTGCTTCTTTCAGATTTGTTTTATTCAAAAGCTGCATTCTGAATCTTCATCAAATGAGAAAATGTTTAACTTTTTGTCACAGTAAAACTGTTTTAAACCATCGCTATCTTTTGAAATTATTACACTAGTTTGTGAAGGTCTATCATAAAATACGCTTTTATGTTTGTGAGGAATGTGAGGAAATGTAAAAAAACGCTGATTGACCTTTTTTCTCTGTTTGCAGGGGAAAGGTTCAAAGAAAGGCGATCAATGCAATTTACAGTTTGCTGTGTTCCCATGATCTGGATGATCGTTGTGTTAAAACTGATGTCAGAGCCAAGGTTTCTGCTCTCTACCTCCCCCTGGTGGGGATTATTATAGAGTCGACCAACTACTTGGATTTCACAGGTATGCGGTAAAGTATCATGGATCGATGACAGTTTTTCTTTCAGTATTTTGGATAAAAGACAATAAAATACTCCAAGTGTTGGTGAGGGAGATTCTGTGGAACCTCCTATTTAATGAGGTTTAACAAGGTGGAAGGTTCATGCCTTTAATCGTCAATTAGCCACAATGAAATGACTTTATTTTTCTAAATACCTGCGCTCATCCATCTTTCTTCACCCTGACATGAATGTGTTTATGCTGGACTCTATTGTCTGTCTCACGTCTACTTAAGACACAGCAGTGCTGAACTTACAGCTGTAACTCCTCTCTGCTTCACTTAAATACGCCCGGCTCCTGTTTGTCTCATTCAGTTTGTGACACACGCGCCGGCAAGAACAAGACCGGCGAATCCGAGGATGACCTTGAAAACGTCCCGGCTATCAATCAGTCTGTTGCCATGGCGATTGCTGGAAATCCCTTCAACACGTTGGGGCGTAACGTTCTCATCTCCATGGCATCCCTGGTAAAGTTTATGCTGTTAGTTGGAATGATAATTGTAGAGTTTTAAATGGGTTTAAAAACGTTTGTATGATTTTGTTTTGGGATTGTTTTGCTTCCCAACAGGTGAGCTGGGTAGATGCTGATTGATTAGCTGTCAGAGCCACATGCACTTCATCCATCCTGCAAAAAAAGAGAAAAAAATCACTCATTCACATAAACACGTACATCTGTGGAAGATGGTTTATGGCCAGGCATTGCCAACATAAGTGAACAGGGCCGTCCTCCTTGACAAACACATCCATCACGCTGCGGCTGCAACAACAGCACAGGCACCAAAACTGAGCACCGCCATTCTCTTCCACTCCAGAACATGAATCAGTTCCCTCCGTTTGTTGTTACGAGAAATGCTGTTGCGGAAAGAGTTTTCACGTGAACGAGCCCATGGCCTGGGCTCAGAAACCGGAGGAGCAGCAGCCAAAGCGCTGGTTCCTCATTTTCAGGCAGCTTGCCTTCAAACAGAATATTCATGAATCATTTAGTCACTGCAGGAGAATTGGTAATGTACATATTCAAATAAACAGCGACACGTTTTTGCTTACATGTGATGGTGTCCGGTGTCTGTTTGGTCAGCTGTGGACAAAAAGAGACTCCAGGAACCGGGTTGTAGGTGAGACACATAGGGCAGTGGGAGCTTAATGGCTACATTTATCAAAACTGCCACACAACGAAGCAGCAGTAGTCATCCACAGCAGTGATTCATCATCACATGAATGAAGCTAAATTAATCTGCAGGAGATTAAAGGCCTGTTGAGATGGGGAGGAACTTCTCTGAAGCCAGAGTGAAAGAGCTGACCAATCACTTCACAATGAGGTTTAGAGAAGCTTGTGAATGATATACTATTAGATACACTTATTGATGGACCTCAGCTTGATCCTTTCGAAAGAGGATTGTGGCATGATTTTGAGTTGGGTTATCTCTAAAAGGGATGCCAAAAGATACACGCATAGACTCATATCTCATAAAGCATCCAAACGGGGATGCTTTATGAATAAAGCAGAATAAATGGGAGTGGTACTTAAAAATATTTCAGATGATAATACATAAACATTCTCTTGAATTAAATTCATTAAGCATTTTAAGAAATGTTATCTATAAGCTTTGTAAATACTTAAATGCTGCGGAAATTAGCATGATATGAAATTTTTACATGTGTATAATGCTTGCAGATCTGAAATGAAAGCGACAACAAAAATATGTTGGTACAAAATGGTCTTATGAATTGACAAAGGTGTGATTTGAGCCAGAGGCTAACCAGATACTTTATCCACAGTGTTTGTTTTGAAAGTGCAGCTCAGACAGAACCAACCAATGACCCAAGTTGAACTCAGTTTATGCAGACGCCAGACGCCAGCCTGGGGACTCTTCAGACAAATAAATACGTTATAAATCAAAGTTATGTTTTCCCTTATTTTCTAAAGAATGTAATTTGTATCTGTCTGTCTTCATGTGTTCCCAGCAAGGTAAATCTGTTGCCACCCTGGCTGCAGACACCAGTCGCCACCTGCTAGTTTGTTTCCTCTGGGTGATGAAGAATGCTGATAGAAACCTTATCCAGCGCTGGACTGTGGATATGCCTCCTTCACAACTCAATAAATTGCTGGAGCTCCTGACTATATGTGTATCTTGCTTTGAGTACAGGGTCAGTTATGGGCCTTTATGTTTCTTATGTTTCTTAATTTTCTTTAACTTTTATTTAAATAATAATAAAAAAAAACTCATTCTAGTTGTATCTTTTGAATTTCTTGTCTGCATTTACATATTTTTATTACAAAATATTCAAATTGGATGAGTTGTGCTTTCAAACTGATGATTTTGTTTTTAATGTGCATCTGCAGGGTAAGCAGAGCAGTGACAAAGTGAGCACACAGGCCTTACAGAAATCTCAGCAGGCCAAGCTGCAGCTAGAAGAAGCCCTGCTGAGAGGAATGGGAGCCCGTGGAGAAATGATGAAACGGGTTGGAGGTAACACATTTGTTGTTGTGTTTTTATTTTAAGGAGTACAACATTTTTTTGATGTCTTGTTATATTAAAATAAATCAGAACAGAGCCTAAAAATTTTTTCACATAAACTCTATTTAGCATTAAGGTTTAATTTTTATTTATTTTTTTTACATTTTTTTCCAATTAATGAATTGTTAATCAAGTTTTTTTAAACTTAAGATAGGCCAGTGTAGGTTTGTAATAAATATTCATCTTACATACAAGGACGGCTTCATATACGAAATAAAAAGCATAGGTAAGTTTGTTTGACAGTCTTCTTACTTCCTTTTCCTGTTTATTCGTAACCTTCTTTTGAATTCCTGACAGGAACGGACAGAACTGTGGGTCAGAGAGAGAACCTGCGCTGGAGGAAAGACCTCACTCAGTGGAGACAAACAAACGATCGACAGGATAAGTACGAATACCATATGTGACTCCTGGTTTTCCTCTAATTACCAACCCTATTTCCTACGGTCAATGTTTATTTTTTTAAATTTTTGTGTAACCTTTGTATCATCGCCTTTCAGAACGAAAGCAGAGTTGGACCAGGAGGCTCTCATCAGTGGGAATTTAGCCACAGAGGCTAATCTTATAGTCCTGGACCTGTTGGAGACCATAATACAGGTTGGAAAATAATCTTTTCATAATCACATTAGAACTATCACTCAGCTTACTGAAGTAATATAATTTACGGCAAATTACTTTGAAATACAGATTCAACGAATTGAAGAGAAAAAAAATTATAAAAGGAAACATTGAACTGGCATGAAAACAAGTAAACAAGGTATACAATTGCTGATCTAAAGGTTTTGAAAATAAAAGACTGCTTTTTCAACCAAATAAATTATGGTTAAGATTTTCTACAATTATATGTAATTATTACACTTGTAAGTTTTTTGCCAGTTTTTTAGCTCCATTGATGGCATGGAAATGTTTTTTGGTGTGGGTGTCATTTCTTCCCTAATTTATTTCATAGTGTCTTCAAAAACCTCAAAATCAACATTTGGATAAAATTTCCTACTTGGAATAATTTTGGCAAAAAGGTTCATAGCAATTTGCTTGGATTCAATCCCATTTTGTTCCTTTTCCCTCATTCTTAATATTGACTGGATATGTTTGTGCTATAAGGAAACCTCTATTAGCTGAAGCTTTCTCACCCTTCCTACAAGCATAAAAAAATGATTAGAAAAGTATTTTCTATTTTTATTTAGGAATTAATTTCTTGTGCCCTGCAAGTACTTACAACTTTACAAATTCAACCCACGTTGTGAAAAGTTTTGACACCACCGGTTTACACTCACCTGGGATTTTACCACAAAGTACAACATTTTACATACTCAAAACTCAACATACTCAAAATTGTATGTTGAGTCTTATCATGGTGAGCTTTTTGAAGAAGTACAACAAAAACCTCAAGGTAAATCAGGGTGAACCATCAATTATTCCAAATAATAATAGATAAGAGTGTAATTGACTCACCAGATGTTTTAATCTCAGTTTGACATAGTCGGTTTGTTGTGTCCTCTCGGTGTTTATTTACTGGGTTCCACCCGCAGGTGTTTCTATCTGCATTTTATGACTAATTTCTCCATCTTCTCTGTGTGCAGGCGGTGCCGTTAAATGAGTGTAAAGATAGCGTTGTTGGCGGCGTGTTGAAGGTGTTACTCCACTCTCTCACCTGCAACCAGAGCACCACTTTCCTCCGTCACACCTTCAGCACACTGAGAGCACTTGTCGTCAAGGTAGTTACATTATCATAATCGTGTGTGTGTGTCTGTTTTTCTGAAAAGGATGCCGTGTGTGTGGGTTGGTATCATTACACAAACATTATCTGAGTATAAATTAGATGTTCTTATTTGTTTGTGTGGGTGTCAAACCGCTGATGTAAGCTAGAATTATAGATGCATGTAAGCACACCGCCTTATAGAGCACACCTGATGGTTTGCTTGTGTGCAGTTCGGAGACCTGTTGTTCGAGGAGGAGGCGGAGCAGTGTGCAGATCTGTGCCAGAAGGTGCTTCAGTACTGCAGCAGCCCTGTTGATGAGAACAGAAGCCAGGCATGTGCCACGCTCTATCTCATCATGAGATACAGCTACAGTAATGCCAGCGTAAGTTAAAACACACACACAACAGAGCATCCAATAAGCTTTGTAAAAATCCTGCTTTTAAGGTCTCGCTGTGCAAAGATTCATTCATAGTTAGTCTTTGAAGTTAATTTACAGTGCTTTTCAAATGTTTTCATACATCTTGAGCTTTTTTTTTTATTATCCCTATAAACATCCCTACCACATGTCTGTGCCACCACCATGTTTTACTACAGTGACGGTGTGTGTTCATAGTGCTCAAATAATTTAGTTATGACACAAAGTTCTGTTCACGCCTCCGTTGACCAGAGCAACTTCTTCCACGTGATTGTTGCATTCTATTAACTTGTCCCTCCGATAACTTCTCAAATGTTTTAATGCCACCAAAACACTTTGTAGATGTTTTTCCTTCTACTTCACAATTGTGCTCTGAGTTGTGTTGATCTAAAACCTCAAATCCCAATAATACACACAGAAGTTTGTGGTTCTAAGGTCACAAGTAGTTTTTGCAAGGCATTGTAAATTTTGTGCCAGTGAGAATTCAGAATGGCTCCCTGATTCAGACCCATTGAAGCAAGGAGTCACTCAGATCTGTATCCTATCTGCTCTTCCTCTCTGCTCAGCTTTAATGTCTTTTCCATGTCTATTTTGAGCGTGGAAGAGAAAGTTCCTGGTGAAGGATGTGTCTCTTAAGTAGAGAGCAGAGAGATATGTTACTGTCTGTCTCCCCATGTTCTTATCCCTCTTTAACTAATGACACCCCTTCTGTGTGTGTGTGTGTGTGTGTGTGTGTGTGTGTGTGTGTGTGTGTGTGTGTGTGTGTGTGTGTGTGTGTGTGTGTGATTCGGTATATATGCGTGTGTATGCGTTTGTGCCACATGGGGAAGGAAGAGAAGAAATTTCAAAGGGCCCGGAGAGAAGAAAATCTTGATGAAGATAGAGGAGTGTTTGTAACAGAAGTGAAGCAGCAATAGTGGGAAATGAAAAAGACAGATCTAAAAGGAGTAGCGGGCATAAGACAGAGTATCTTCTTTCATTTTCTTCCCCGGTTCGATAACTGCTGCTGCAGTCAATATTTCCTGTGTTTACAATCTGTTCACTTTAATCAAAGTCAGGCGCCTGTCTATGGAACACGCTTACACGCACATACATACAGTATCTCCACTTTCTAGGGAGTCTTGCCCTTCTCTGTGTCCCTGTTTATGTTTGTTTATACAGTGTATACAGAAGGAGCTGTGATCTGAATTAGCGTAGCAGCCAAATGAGTCATCCATACAATGTTTACCATCTACCTCTTTCTTTGTTTATGAACTGATCCTGTTTTCCACCCACATTTCGTTCTCCATCTGTCACAGACACCTATTTTTTCATCTCTGATTTACCCTTCTTTGTTTAATTTTGGATTATAACAATAAAATGAGAAAATACCAGGAACACACATCCAGTTCCAGTTCTGGAAGTAGAGGGAAGAGGGCCAGATGATGCTAAAAGTAAAAATAAAAAGAAAGACAAAGAGGTTTTATGTGTTGACTTAAACTGTCATTAAGTTCGTATTGTAGGGCAAACACACACATGCACACACACACACACACACACACACACTGAGTTAGAGGGCAGTGATGAGTGGTGAGCCCTTGGCTCCATGCTCAGTTGAACAGAATGGGGCCGTAGAGATGATCCATGGGTGATTATGTCTCTGCTAATGGGAGATCATTTCCCGCTTAGCTAGTCATGCTGGAGATGGATGGGACATCTCGCAAGCATGGGCACCATCTCTTTCGCACATTTGCTCAGAAGATGGAAGCGTGTTTGTCAGGCTCTTGTTCTTGGACAGGCAGTGTGAAAGAGGAGGAGTCAAGAAATAGAAGGGAAAAAAGACAGGTATTTGTTCTTATCCCATCTGTTTTAAATAGGTTTAGTTCAGACATTTAGTTCAGTCATTTATTTAGAATTAAGTTAATTGTAAGCAGATATAGATTTGAAAGTATTTCCATTCAACCAAGAAATTTATTTCTTACAGAAGATTAAACGGAAAAAAATAGAACAGTCTAAGAACAAAATGATGCATTTTACTAAATAAATTACATGATATTTTATCCTCTTCAATAATCAAAGGAATAATTCTACATTGTCATCACACCAATGAAACCCTCGTTAATTCTTTACCAGTTTTCTACATGCTGTCACTGGTGTTTTAACAATTCATCTTTGGCGATGAGCTCCAGTTTCATGTGGTTGAAAGGCCCCCTTACCATCATTTCAGAGTTTTTCTCCCATTGATTAAGATGTTTTGAAATGACAGCTTAGTGGTGATTAAGGTTTATATTTTTCTTGTTTCCTCTTCAGTTCGGATCGATTGGTGATCCATTTCTTTGAATCTGATGCAGTAAATTTATTTCTAATAAATTGGCTGCTTTCAGATTTGGTTGGATATTAGCTTTTATTCGTTCATTTATTATTGCTTATTATTTACACAGTGCAGCATTTTGTTCTTCACATAAAAGTGAAGGAAAAAGCACCTGATTCTCTCAATATTTGTTGTGAATCCATGGATACATTGCTAAATGTTGCTAAATGTTGCTAAATGTTGTGTGTTTTGTGGTCTTCTCAGAACTTTTCAAGGGTGAAGATGCAGGTCACCATGTCACTGGCCTCACTTGTGGGCAAATCATCAGATTTCCAGGAGGAATATCTGAGGCGCTCCCTCCGCACCATCCTGGCTTATGCAGAGGAGGATGCCGAGATGCAGAACACCCAGCTTCCCTCACAGGTGAAGGCTTAAACACAGTGTCAGAAACCATGAGCAATCCTGACTCTAAAAAGCATGAGCTTACTTATGTCTGGTGTTCAGGTGGATGAGCTGTTAAGAAACCTTAACAGCATCTTGTCAGACACTGTGAAGATGAGGGAGTTTCAGGAGGATCCTGAAATGCTTATGGATCTTATGTATAGGTAAGAATGAGAAAGAACCTGATGTAGAAAGAGGCACCTCCTTCTTCCGATCTGCCTCTTTATATCATCTGTTTTTATTTTGCTTATCATTCTCTTGCTTCTTCCAACCCCTCAATGCTGGTTCTTATTTCTCTGTGGTCTGCGCTGTTTAGCCCCTATTTGCTGTCTTCACTATGGTAACCATGTGGTAGCAGTTTAGTCCTCTGATCTGGTTTTGTGTACATGCAAAACTAAACAGTGTGCATACAAATGCGAGAATGCTTGTTCGTGTTTGAGAAGGAGCAAGTGGGGGATGCATCGAAACAAAGAGAGTATACATGTGCTACTGATGATTCTGGCACTCCACATCGTTGTGACTCAGTGATGCATCGTATCTTATTCGTCATGCAACTTTCTGTTCAGTTTTTGCTAGTCACCTGGTGAGTGGCTGTGTTGACAGTCCAGCAGGAGGACCTTCACATACAATTTCTTTTACATGTACCTAAACATGTGCACTTAAATATGAGGATTTGAATTGTGAGATATTTAAGACGTTTATTATCTTCAACTTAACAGCTGTGAACATCATTTTTGTCTATCTCCTAAAATTTACAATAAAAACCTTGACGTTTGGGATTTTAACGTGATGAAATGGGGGGAGAAAAGCTTAAAGAGGTTCAAATATTTTTGCAATGTTCTGTAAATGTGCCTTAAAACTGCATACGACGCATTCCCACTCTGTGATCTTGTTTGTGCTGCAAAGTTTTTTTTTTTCTCAGTTGAGTTGCTCTCAAGGCAGATTTTAATCTTAATTAGTCCTGTAAGCGATTAAAAAAAGGGCAAAGGAGGAAAAACGTATGCTCTGTCTCTTTACCCTCCAGGATAGCAAAGGGCTACCAGACATCTCCTGACCTCCGTTTGACCTGGCTGCAGAACATGGCAGAGAAGCACAACAACAGGAAGTGTTACACAGAGTCAGCCATGTGCCTGGTCCATGCTGCTGCTCTGGTGGCTGAGTACCTCAGCATGTTGGAGGATCACAAATACCTTCCTGTTGGAAGTGTCACCTTTCAGGTATGCAGAGAAAGGCAAGAAACACATGGAATGATACTGGAGGAAGTAATTTTAACAAATTTTAACCCAACAAAGAGACATCCTGATCAAGACTTTATTGACACCTGCCCAAGTCATTTTGGTCTGACATTTGTCAAGTTGGTCTAATTAATGCCTTGAAGTCCTTGAGGAGGAAAAAAAGGAAGTCGTATGCTTCTACCATCAAGACAAGGTCCACTGAAATGTTTGTCTTAAAAATGAGGGAGGACAAAAACCTAAGTATATTCATTTCGCAGCCAGCTGACCTAAAGTGAAAACAAATGGAAACTAAATGGCCATAACGGTTCCAAAAATGATGGCACCATTAATGAGGCATTTCCCATACAAGACCTCTGTAACACTCTTAATAGCACAGGACACTGAATTCTGAATCAGTCAGCAGTTCATTGATTGGATGATAATCCAGATGGTTCCTTCTCACCACAGCAGGACACATCCTTTTAAGCCACTTGATTGATTATTTGATTAAGTGGGCTAACTAATTGATTTGGCGACTGATTTTTCTTCACAGAACATTTCCCCCAATGTGCTTGAGGAGTCAGCTGTGTCCGATGACATCCTGTCCCCGGACGAGGATGGCGTGTGCTCGGGACGGTACTTCACAGAAAGCGGCTTGGTGGGATTGCTCGAACAGGCTGCTGAGCTTTTCAGCAATGTAAGATAATGAGGCTATAGCAATGTGAAATATGTACCACCATCTGATATCATTGTAAAAATTACTGTAATTCTTCATAATTTTGAAAATATGTGGTTAGGATACATGTGTTCTAAGTGAAATGCAAGTATTGGTGCAGTTAATTTTATTTGCTAGCTCTTACAATTAATTGTATCATTTCCTTTAAACTATAAAAAAAAAATAAGTGCATGCTATTTTTTACAATTGTAGTTAATGGTAACCTTTCATGAATATTTCACCACTTCCTAGAGTGATTATGCTAAAGAGGATTCCTCATTGAAAGAGGAAGCATTGACAGAATGACTCCTCAATAATTCCTCTTTCTCTATGATCCAGTCTTTCTAAATGTTCTAAATAAAACCGTGAGTGACATCCTTTTGGATAGGATGGGTGCCAACAACTGAGTCACATGTGACCTATAAGTTCTTTATAGATATATGGTTCATCTTCATGCTATAACATGTGTTTTTTATTAGGGTGGTCTCTATGAGGCAGTGAATGAAGTCTACAAGATCATCATACCAATCTTGGAGGCTCGAAGAGATTTTCGAAAACTGGCTTCCACACATGACAAGCTTCACAGAGCTTTCGATAACATCATCCAGAAGGTGAGGACTATAATGAAACTTCAAATTTATTCATCTAGGTGATGTTAAACATACAATAGAAAACCTTTTTGTGAGGCTGGGAGCCATTTTATAGAAAGCTTCTCATAATTATGGCTCTCAAAATGAATCCTCATGTAAAAATAGAATTTGACATAATAAAGAAAACATGGCACACGTGCCATAGTGATTAAGCTGATTTAAACTCTTCTTGTTTTCCCCATCAGGGCCACAAGAGGATGTTTGGCACCTATTTCCGTGTGGGTTTTTATGGAGCCAAGTTTGGAGACCTAGATGAACGGGAATTTATTTACAAGGAGCCTGGAATCACACATCTCCCTGAGATATCACACAGGCTAGAGGTACAAGGGACTGAACTGTATGTGTGTTTTGACTGAAATGAAATGGGAAGATGGCGCCCAGCTGGACTGGTAGAATCCCATAACAGCAGAGGGACTTTGAGTTAACAGCATGAGAGAGTGCAATAACTAGCAATTATCCATCTGTTTTTTGTGAGCCTTTTAGGAGCATGGAAAAATCATTTACATGCTTGTGAGGGGAATTAAGTCCATATAATGTCAGCATCAAGCATTCATCTCACCAGGGAATCGGCTATGCTTTGCTTTATAATATCTTCCAAACATCAACATGAATTATCTCAAAGTATTCAGTATTTTATAAAGATAATATTAAGTTAACAAAAACATTCCCTATTCTCAGAACTTCTATAGCCAGTGTTTTGGAGATGACACGCTGGTAATGATTAAGGACTCTACACCTGTGGACAGAAAACAGCTCAACCCCAGCAAGGTAGGTCACTGTTCTACTGTACTACACAGTTTTTCCACTGATGTCTGTCAAACATCATTGAGTAAGTATGAAGTTTAATGGTTACCACTGACCAACAGATAATAGACACTAAGCAGTGGCACTGCCAAGCACTTTTCTGCTTTGTCTTGGTTGTTTTGCTTCTTTCCTTTCCAAAATAAACCACATTTATTTTCATTAATTGACAATCCTGTCCTCACTCATCAATATGTTTTTGCAAAGTAAATACAAAGTCTTGGTGTGTGTGGAATGGATATCCAGAGGGGATTCAAGACTGTGGCCCACTTTGTGGATGGTCACTCTCTTGACCATTTGCACATGCTCACTCTCTAGGCTAGTCAGCTGTCAATATAGCACCCTCCTCCTACATACATAGGTAAAGTATTTTTTTACCCATATGTAGTCCACACCAAGTTTAAATCCTCACTCAATTTAAAATATTCCACCAAGAATATCTTCAGTTTTTAATGAATGTGATGGAAAACATCCAAGCAAAGCAAATACCTGAACTGTACAATGCACTAAATCTCAGTTCTCAAATAAACCACCACTTCTGTCTAGGCATATATTCAGATCACATACGTGGAACCCTACTTTGATGACTATGAGATGAAAGACCGTCTAACGAACTTTGAGAAGAACTTCAATCTGAGGCGGTTTATGTACACCACGCCCTTCACCAAGAGTGGTCGACCTCGAGGTGAGCTCAATGAGCAGTACAAGAGGAAGACCATCCTCACCACCATGCACGCCTTCCCCTATGTCAAGACACGCATCAATGTCATCCAGAAAGAGGAGGTCAGTTCCATAAAAGGGATGGGGTTTTATTTATGTATTTTTTTGACAATGTAAATGGGCAGGAATGACATTTTTACAATACAAGCACCTTGAGTAAATATATGACCATGACAGTGTGTACTGAGCAAAAACAAAACACAATGAAACTTGTTAGTCCCCAAATTGCCTAAGACAAATTAACATACTGAATTAATATTTGTCATTTATATCATGTGTTTATGTGTTCTGATAGACAAAGTAGTAGTTTCTAAGTACTTTCAGCACAAAATGCTACACGTATTTGTCCTGGTCTTTGTGGACTAACAGAAATATGATAAACTGACATCATCAAGTTAATTAGTCTGGCTAATTGCACGGATGCATGTCTTGGGTTTGACTTATTTACAGACATAAAAACTTTCTACATGTAGTTTTAAATCATCCAGCCATTTCCTAACATACTTATGCTTGTGAGTTGCGAGGGGAGGCTGGTATTTATCGCAAGGGTCCACTGGTGAGAGGTGGAGGACACCAAGACAGGACGCCAAGCCATTGCAGGGCAAAAAAAGAGACAGGGCAAACAACCACATATACACTCACTCACACTTAAGGAAAACTAAGAGGAATCATAATTTGTTTTCCAAGCAGCTTAATTTGTCTTTCTTTTGGGGAAAAGATGAGTCAGTTTGTCCAGCACCTGATTGACAATGCTCAATAACAGGTATAAGAGGAGCAGCACTGCATAACCTTATAGCACCACATCGCTTAAATAAACAGTAGTTATTACAGCCCTTAATCATAAAAATGTCAACATGTTAAATCATAAGAGCTTTTTTGAAACCATGACTGGTTTCAAAAACCAGTCATGATCAGCATGAATGTGTGAAACTTTATTGTGGCTTCATACCAGAGACCAACCCATGCATGTTTGACATTAACACCATTACACTGCAATCATTTTATTGATCTCTTTTGTTTATCTCTATTCCTTCTAGTTTGACCTTACTCCTATAGAAGTGGCCATAGAGGACATGCAGAAGAAAACTAGGGAGCTTGCAGTTGCCACACATCGGGAGCAACCCGATGCTAAGATGCTACAGATGGTGCTACAAGGCTCTGTGGGAGCCACTGTTAACCAGGTAAGCAGGGTTTCAGATTTATTTTTGAATGAAAATAGCCCCTGGTTTACCATGATGGACATTATAAGTGTGGTTGGCGATAAGACCTCCTAAGATGACTCCTGCTCTGTTTTGTCATACAATGAATATATAAAAAACTAGATCACCTTTATTTCTGTTATTACATTTGCAATTTTCATCTTAGTCCAAGTCTTTACATCAGACAAAAGACAGGGATCACACATCAAAGCTTTCATCCCATCTATAACCTTAATCCTTCCTTTGCTTTCTCTTGATTCAGTTAAACGTCAATCCATGGACCCTTTCTCCTTTCATGTCTTTGCTGTGTGGCGTGTTGAACCGGAGGTCTCTTTGATCTGATAGCTTCCAGGTTCTGCCAGTATGGTGAATGTTGGAGTAATGACAAAGCAAGCTTCAGTTTCTCAGTTTCCTTTCTCTCCTTATGTTCTATCTTCCAGTGTCTTAATCTGACAGTTTCTCTCGCTCTGACTTGATGGTTGTATACATAACGCAAATGCTCAGCAGCTTGGTAAACATATAACTCCTGACTGTAATCAGTGCAGGAGGCTGGATTTCTGTGTGTGGATCTGTAGCTCAGACCCAGGTCTGAGGCCCAGATCCAATGCATTTATGATGCTAATCAGAGCTGTTTAACTGTGCCTGTCGTGATGTGAGCTTAGTGTGAGCGTTCTGTGGTTTTATGATGAATATAAGTTAGGATAACAAGATTTCATGCTGGGGAAATGGCAGCCAAATGGTGGCTCTACGCAGGCTTGGCGGGGACTTTAGCCATTCAGTACGCTAATCATGTCTCCTCTGATCTGATCTCTTCCTCATGCTTTGGTTTAGGCCCTTGTTTCCTAGTTGCATTAGACAATAAGTTAATTTCCCCCCATTTCTAAACAAGAACCATTCTCATCCCTTCTTTTGTTCATATGCTCCCAAGCACTTCCTCTCATTCCTTCCTCTGCCGTGTTTTCCTTTCTCTTTCTTCCTCCCTCTCTAACTTTGTCCCTTTGTGTTTGTTCCTTCCCTCCACTCTCTCCCTCTCCGCCCATGCTGCAGGGCCCGCTGGAGGTGGCCCAGGTCTTCCTGAATGAGATCCCGGCAGACCCCAAGCTCTTCCGTCACCACAATAAACTGCGCCTGTGTTTCAAAGAGTTTATAATGAGGTAAGACAGGAGCAAATGATCACCACCTTTTCATACACACCACAGCAGATTCATGCAAAAATTGAAAAAGGCAGCATAAACATACTGTACTTACCACCACCAGTGTGTGAATGACTTAATGCACTGTGACGTGCTTTGGGTTCCTCTGGACTTGATACAGGGCTACGCAAGCACAGGTCATTTACCGCATGTAGATGCTTTTTAGGTGAGTGATAGAAGTTCATGAGCCCTTTTTCATTTCACCAGTCAGTCTGTTTAGTGATTTTGGTTAATGGCAGTGGCTGACAAGATTAAAAAAAAGAAAAGAATCAAACTTCAAAGAGATTTTCTTTGTAGAAATGACAATATTTTTTGGTGACGACTTGAAGAAAGTAAAAATCCTCCCTAGACATTGTGTGGTCGTATTGCTTAAATTATGTTAATTCAGAAGGCTAAGAGTTTTTCTAAATTAAATCAAGTTATGGTTAAAGAATATAAATCGACAAGAATTAAGTTTTAATTCTTGCCATCTGACTATATTAAAAGTCATCTGTAATAAAAGAAAGGCCTTTATTGCAGCAGTAAAATCTCACATTTATACATTTGAAGCATCACATCTTTATTAGAGGACAACAATAAAAGAAACCCCATGTTAAGAAGTAATAGTTTTTAACCAAGTTACAAGAGGAATAATTGTTTGTATCACTACTTTTAATGTTGGTGCAGTTCGCTTTTGCCAAATGACAGGATTTAGTCTTTTCTCACAAGGTTGCAGCATTCAGAGGAAGAGATCTGTGGCCATTTCTCTTTACGCAGTCTTGGTGGGTTTATCCAGAGTCCACTTTTTGCTCTACTTTTTTATTATGTTGAAAAATGTTTTCAGTTTTCAAGCGGAGCTCACCACATGTTTTATTAAAATATCCTGCTATTTCAAATAGTCTGTAGTACCATGAACTCTGATACACTTACTGGAACCTTTGAAAGTGAAACTGACTCCTAGCATCGCAGCTCTTCTGTCAGACAATGACAGTTTTTACCTTCCTTGCTACAGGTGATGGCAAACAAAAAGTTTCTCATCCAGCCTTGTTTGTCACAGTTTTATTTGACACTTTTTAAATTTATTTTTATAGTTGTTTACTGACAGCTACCATGTCTATTCTATTAAAGGGAGACACTATAACTGTACAATATATTGCTAATGTATCTTTATGGCAACTTCTGTTTGCAAAAATATTCATATACAAAGGACTGTTTGGAATGCAATATTAGTTGGCTGGTATATTCATCCAACAATATATTCCAAGTGGAATGAACTTGAATTTTTCATCGTAATGTGATATATACATTTTCACAGAAGCAGATGATCACACTGGACACAAATGATATTTTCCAAAATGCTGAAGGTCAGAAAGTGATGGAAGCACAGGATAGAATGAGGGGAAGGAAGAAAAAGCACATATTTGTTTATCATCTTTGCAGTATTCACCAAAATGATCACAATCGCAAGATCTTATCTTTAACACATGTGCCTTTTGAAATGACAAGATCTCTCAGATTTTGAACAGTGACTAGTGGATGAACTCCTCCCCCTGGTGAAGATATGTGAAAGTCAAGGCTGACTTTTTAAAAAAAAAGTTCAGTGTGAGATTGTGCTGCTGAATTAAAAAAATAATATATTGTAAGACTTTCTACATGTCTTTGCCTGAGGTTGCAATGTCTCTGAAGGGTTCTGGTTTTGTTCAGACTATTTTAAATTTAATTAAAATGTAGAGTTTTTTTGATATTTTATATATTCTAAATGTAATCTTAACCCTCCTGATGGTGACACAGTGGATGTTTGTGCACAGATATCTTCTTGTTTGTGTTTTTGGCCACTCATCTCCTGTGCATGTGAGACTTTCCTCCAAAAGATGGTTTACATTTTTCTGACCAACATGTTTCATCCAGCTGCCTTGATTGCTACAAGCAGGTTGGCAAATATTTACACTAATTTCAGAAAGGTTTATTTTTCTATTTTAGATCTAAATCCAAACAAGACAGCATAAGATGATTAGTGTCCTAATCTTCAGCAACAACAAAAAACTGCTCTTAGTTTGTTGTATAACTTTTCCTTCCCAATAGATTTAATGTGTTGCACTTTAAACAAAATGTCCATCCATTGCATAGTGATTGATACTATATCAGTTAAACTGTGTGTGAAATCTCCAAATGGTTATGAGTTATAAAACCAGCTCTAGATATAAAAAAAACTTTTAGATAATAAGCTGTATTGAAATTACAAGAGTAGGCAAACAAAAAAACAAACATTTAGATAAAACTGGCTGCAAAAAGATAATCACATGCCCACTATAATCCAGAAAGTAGCACTTTTCCCTTAGCTTATAAGCAAGGGCAAAATGTTTTTTTGTTTCTCATTAAAAAGTCAAAAGCTGCTTCCCTTCTTCTCCTCAGTGCCTCTTAAAAGCAGAAACTTGTTCTAACCTGCTCTTGTAAAATACATAATTGTAAAGATTAGGACTTAAACAACCGGGTTTTTAGAGGGGGGTTGATTGATTGAGTACTGGCCTGCTTGTCTCAAGCTTTTTGTTGCTGTGATTGGTTTGTAAACTGCCTTTGGCATTAAGCTATTAAGCTGGAGGATGATGTTTGATGCATAATGCAACAAAATGACTTTTCTTTCAAATCTAATGCTACTGACTTAAAAAAAATACCACCAGCAGTCACATGATCAGTAAATCAAGCCCTGTTGTCTGTAATTTAATCTCAGTATGAGTAGCGCTTTTATTTTTTGAAGGGTTTAAATTATTCTGGGTATGAAATATTTGTGAACAAATAAAGCATCATAAAGAATCTCAGAATCCCAATCTGGGAAAGCATTAATCAGAGAAGTAGCCAAGAGGCTGAATATGCGGCAGTTCTGGAGCGAAATCTTGTAAGAAGCTTCAAAAGACTTGAGACTGGGGCAGCAGATCACCTTACAGCAGGGCATGAACTCTCCACGTACACCCGGAGTCAAATAGTTGTCCTCAAAATATATGCAAATACTAAAACGGCTCAGTCAAAGTCCAGATCCTTTTAAGATTTGTAGCACAACTTGAAAACACACAGTGTGTGACTGGGCTGAAGATGTTTTGCATAGACAGATAGGTACAAATTTAAATGTAAACAAGTTCATGGAGTATAAATACTTTTCGAATGCACTTTTCCTCTTGATTTTGATTGTAAGCTTGCAGTGCTGGAGAATTTATTTTTATTTTGTTTATGTCGCCTAGGAAAATACAAGGATGATGCCTGAACTTGTGCAAACATATTTTACTGTAAAAGACCATCATTATCTTTTGATTTACTGGCAGAGTGATGCCAAATATCTAAAATGTTCATCAGATGGAACGTTGTTTAGTCAGTTAGTCAGTCAGTCAGTCAAACACCAGCAGATGTTTTGTGACTCTACCATCATTACCGCTTTTACTGAACATTCTTACGCAACCCTAGAGTTTCCATATTACCTTCATTAGAAGCTAAGAGATAAACACAGACATGTGTTTGTAATCAGCGCCTTCTTTCTTAGTTCCTACATAGGGCTCTGTATGTTGGCCGTTAGACATGTCGTGATAGAGCACTGTGGAGAGAAACCACACTCCCTCTCTGCTCCAGATCCTTTTAGTGCTTTCCTTCATAACAAGGCTTTGTCCTTTTTCTAGCACGAGGGAGGCCAGAATGTTTTATTTGTTGGTTAGTTGTTTTTCCTCTGCTCTGTTTAACTTTGCTCTGGGTCATGCGCGGTCTGTTTCACATTTCAGCAGGAGTACTTGGAAGGAATCCAATCAACATATGGAAATTCCCAAGAGTCTAATAAACTGGAAACCCATTTAGAGATCTGGTGTGGAAAGGACTCAGATTTATGTCAAGTAGTTACAGGACATTGTTAGCATGGAACACTGCAGTTATTCTTGAAGGTTTGAGGGGGAGAGAGGGGATTATGAATAGATCGGCTGCTCAGGATTACTTCTGGAGCTCCTTTTAGCTCTATGTATTAAAAAAAAATGCAATAGCAATTTTTTGTCAATTCATACTGTGAAACCAAACTTTGCTTATAACAGCTATCTCATATTGTTTTGCTCTCTGTCTTGTAGATGTGGTGAGGCTGTTGAGAAGAATAAGCACTTAATCACATCAGACCAGAAGGAGTACCAGCAGGAGCTGAAGAAGAACTACAACCGCCTGAGAGAAAACCTGAGGCCCATGTTGGAGAGAAAGATTCCCGAGCTTTACAAACCCATCGTCAGGCCTCGCCTGGAGAACAGGTGAACTAAGCGGCCGTTTTTTGGAAATTTATAACGAGGGTCTAAAGAGAGACATTTTATTTCAAGGGTTTAATGTTTTTTTCACCAATAATGCCAAATTACTTTCAACCACAGTTTCAATAAAGACTGCCACTCATTAAGTATTTTTAGAGTTAATCATCCTAAGCTTAGTAGATCTTTCACTAAAATTCAAGTTGGTTTCTGTTCATGTCATGAAATAGCATCTATAAGACAGTTTGTCTATGTTTAAATGTGCTAAAATTTGAATATTTTTTTGATATTTAACAAAAATGTGATTCCTCTTTTTTTTTCCTCTGGTTGTATTTAGAGAAGTTAAAAAATTGACAGTTTCAAAATAATAAAATAAACCTCATGCAAGAAATGGATATTAATACGGTCTTTCTATGAACTGATATTACACATCTTTGTAAGTCCCATTATATTTGTTTTACTTTGTAATCCTTACTAACATTATTCCTTGTTGTATTCACATTTTTCATGTCTTTTCGGATCCATGTTCAGGGACTCTTTCAAACGCCTGAGTTTCCGCAGAACTCTGGAGGAAAACTCGTGAGGTTCCTCAGCTTGTTGGGAAGTGTCACAAAGTCTAAGGCATGAAAGAAGATAAGCTAAAAAGAACTGCTGGTGACACCTCTTAAAGTATCTGAGGAAAAAGGCGTGTCAAAATGGAGGACTCACCTTTTTTTTTTGTAAATTCAGCCTTGTGCACACATGCATGACCACTTTTGTAATGTCATGTATGCTGCATAAGAACAGAGCACAGAAAAAGAGGGTAAATGGTTATCCTTAGCAAAGTGTAGCTTTTTAAATATTTCACTGTAAAATCAAGTCCTGATACTGCTGCAAACATTTTCTCCTGGTCAGCAAAGCTCTTTTACTGACCCAATGTTCATACTATGTATATTCTGCTAATGGTTGTGTCCTGTATGTACGTACATTTCTGAATGAACTTGCAGATTTGCATATGGCACAGAATAAAAAAAGTTTGAGTGATCAACAATTCTGCTACAGAACCTCTGGGTTTCTATGCATGACATTTTGTTAAATTTTAGTTTCATTATTTATCAAGTTCAAATAACTGAACTTTATAAATAATGAGAAAGTTCAATTATTTGAAATGGATGGATTATGCACTGGAGAAATATGTACACATGTCCGCTTTAGCCTGCATCCTTGTCTTGCTTCCTTACTTCTGGACATCCAGCATTTAATCAACAAATAGGTGCAGGAAATCCTCTCTGAGGTCTAAACTGCTGTTCACAGATGCATAAAAGCCACTTTTTTTGTACATAGCTCCATTTACAAAAATTAAAAGGTATTTTGCATTTTATTTTATAGCAATTTAATTTTTGTATATATACCAGTTCCAGTGCCACATTTAAAATGTTTCTTTCTATCATAAATGAGAAACTTCAGAATAATTGCAATATTTTTGAAAATCCTGCCAGCACAGGCTATGCTGAAATACTTTTTCAGGAAAGATTTGCAAGACTTGCTTTTGAAAATAAAATATTTCTAATCTTATTATTTACACACATGACAGCTCAAACTGCTAGTTTTATGTTCTAGGTCACAATGTATTTAATGTAAATGTGTTTATTTTTCATGAATAGAAATACATTTTAAATACATTATCATTGCTCAATTGATTATTTGTTTGTATTTATTAGCTGTTAGATTTTTTTTAATGGTTTAGTAAAACAAAGTCATGAAACTTGCTGTATCAACTAAGTATTAATTAAAGTGCATTTCTATTTTTGAACTAATCTAAACATGTGTTGTAAGATACATTTGTGGCATTCAAATCTGTCATTTGTTGTGTATTTGTTCATATTGTTTGTTTTACTAAATTAGGAACATTTGTCAAGCACAGTCCTTTTGCAGAAAGTTAATAAATTTAACATATGCATATTTCTTTTCTCTCTATTATGTCCAGTTTCTTTGTTGGTATAAAATCAGTAGAATTTTATATTTGTGTAAAATAATGAATATGCATTCAAACACTGAAAGAATGTGGTCGCAGATAGAGGCTGTAGAACGTAATGGTTGTGTCTCTCTGGTTTACTGAGATATAAATAATCAGAAGTACTAATAAATAGTGTGTATTTGCATCTTTCTCTATAATTTATGTGCTCATCTGCCACATCTAAAATCGAACTGGGATTGGTGAGCAACCTCTGACTTTGGCAGGAGAGTGATCCTGTTGTACTGCTGACCAGAAACTTGCAGAACCCAACTTGTCGGTGCAATAAGAAAACACCATACCATTGCTCATGAAGTCAGTTGGAGGGACTAACACTGCAATTGAAATATTCCCGTGATCAAAAGCTGTCTGAAACCTATGTCAACAGTTCAATTTTATAGTGCATTTCACTACCACAACAAAGGAAAAACTGAAATAATTGTACTTGATTTTAAAACAAAATAACTTACTATTCAACAAATTTGACATTTAAATCAGAATTATAAATAATAGTAAATAAGCCATTTTATAACTAAACCTAAGTTTGTACTTTATGATGTATGGAAATATCTTGATAATTTATTTATGAATGTAGCACTTTGAAGGCAGATCTACATCTAATATTAAAAATAAATAAATAAAATAATGCTAAATTAAAATAAGCCGTCTTTGTAAAAACACTTAAATAAAAAAAAAAACGTTATTAGCTGCTTTTAGAATCATTTATATAGATTGTGACAGTAGTGTAAAAGCTTTCAGAAGCTAGACACAAAAAATATAATTATATAAACAATCCAAACTCTTATGAATCTGTCACTGGTTTTAGCTTTTTGTTTCAACTGATTATTAAAAAATAAAAATGATGGACACACAAATGATGTTAAAACATCATTTTCTTTTGACAGTTGAATGATTTAGCTGCGATTTTCTATGTTTTTGAGTATCCTTGAAGTGCTGTGTAAGTTTGATATATTAATGTTCTTCTGTACTATGAACGTGCCCGCCAATGAATGGTTTAAAGAACGACGAGACGAGATCTGTGCCGTGGAACTACAAAATCTGCTGTCGCTTTATGATGACGACATCACCGCTGGACTTCGACAGGTTTGACTGCTCGGTAGTAGAAGTCTTTCACGATAATCGCGTTCTTGTCATGCTCTGCGGTACGTTAGCAGCTGTTTGTAAATTGTTGCTGTGCACTGTGATCTAGAGGGAGAGCGAATAAAGCTTTAGAGTCGCAACAGTTCTAGTTTCTGTGCACTTATGCGATAAATGACCGGTTTGTGATGTAAAGTTAGCTTTTTCTCAGCAGGTAACTTCACTCTTTAGTCTCCACACAACAGTAATAACACATCATTTGTAGTTCCTGTTTTAGCCGTAATGCTGACAAAGACGTCTTTTTTTGTGTGTGCAACCCCTAACGTGTTTCGTTTTTATATTTCCGCACATAAGCCATCATAAAGGTTGTTGTGAACTTTTTCACGTTTCGTCACGTTGCAGCCAATGTCTTTAATGTATTTTTAATGGGATTTTGTGTTGTTTGATGATGACAAACTCTTAAGGGAAGTATTTTATTTCCAGAGGATGATACGGAGTACTTGAAACGTTTTCACATAGAATCTGAAAGGTGTAGTGTGCATTTTTATTCAGCCTCCTAGTCAAGTTTGGAGATGCAGAACTACTGTTAGGTCTCCATCTCGGTGCTCCTATTATACATATTTTAGGTGTCTTCCATCTTCCAAACAACCGACTTAATTGAATGAGTGATTATCAGGCTTCTGCAGCATTTGGGAGAGGTCTTGTAGTCATTTGGATAAGGTGTTCTGGGACAGAGACCATGCAAAACATGCACGGCAGGGGTACCAGGTTTGGGATCCTACAATGAGGGATATTTCTATTATATGTTTGAATCAAAACATATTTTACTAGTTTAGGGGTGCCCAACTCCAGTTGTGCAGAGCTACTATCCTGCACAACAAGGACACAAGGATAATACCTCTTTAGGACTGGATTTGGGCACTCTTATGAAACAAATTCTTACTAAGCAAAGTTCATGAAACATAACTCTGAGTGCTGATACATTTATAGATGTAAAATTGTAATTTTTCAGTTTAGAAAATGCTTCACATTTTTCACTCTTTGAGCTGCAGGTCACTGGTCAGATCTGATTATAGAAAAGAGGACTGAATCAAGCATCACATGAATCTCAGACTTGATGTTTTACAGAAGATGGGTTATTTGAAGATGTAGAATTATTTTTATTTTTTTTAACAAAAACAGAAGTTTATTATGTCCACTGTGTTCTCAGCCAACTTCTGCTCTACCTTGACCTAATTTCTGTGACATGGAGCCAGATGAGGAGCTTAATCCGGACACAGATGACCTTCCTCTCAGAGCCAATACTAACCACATACTCGTCAGACATTACATGTTGGACCTGACCGTTTGTTTTGACAAGAAGATCATCAGTGGTAGTATTGTTCTCTTTCTTGAGCCTTGCTCTGCTGAGATGGCTAAAACTAAGGATGATATTGGACCAGAAACTGGAGATGGTGCAAGGCAGGAACTCAATGAGGAAGATACAAAGCTTGGAAGTGACACTCAGAGTTCAGATTTATTTCAGAGCTCCAATGCTGAGGATTTCACTTTAGTGCTGGACTGCTGTGACCTTGACGTGTCAAAAGTGGAAGAGGTGGACATTAATTCTGTATCGGCAGCAATGGGGTTTCCCCTTACAGCTGCATCACTGGACTCACAAGCAGATTTTATTCAGCACCTATTCTCCATGCCCTCTTCCCATTGGAAGGAAAAGCATCGGTGCTTTTTACTATGCAGCCAGAGCCCTGGCATCCAGAACAACTCGCTTCACTTTCACACAGATCGCTGGAGTTTGAAGCTGAAAAAAATAGGGGTCACTACTTCACAGGGCTTCCCCCGTATTATTAGGATCTACTACATGACAAGACCACTGGGAGGCTCAGTGAGGTGGACCATGGACCAGGACAACAGGTTTGCTACTATACTTCATTCTAATATATACACAGCCATATTAAAGATGATATTACTCATTCATTTACAGATTTTCACTTGCTGACTTTAGGACCCACATCTGGCGCCTCAGCACTTGCCCCGACAATATCAATTAAAAACACATGCAATACATTTACCATCTAAATGATAGAAACAATATTTTCTATCTCAACAACACCCAACTTCAAAACTAAGCAGCTTGATAAAAAAAAAAAAAAAAAAAAAAAAAAAGTAATTGGATGCTAAAGGGGCATACCTGCTGCAACATAACCCAATGCACACAAGCTATCAGAGTAAAACTGAAGCTCTGCCCTTTCCAACAATACCAGAATCACCACGCCACGTACAAAACTCACTGAACCAGCAGCTAAAGGAAATGAAAAAATATTTTAAAAAAGCTCATTTCACGAAGCTAAAAGCAAATTCAGTTCTACCTTTGCTGTTTTGTGGTCACAATCCATGTTAGAGTAAATATTTTCACTCAGGTACTGTAATCCATTGCCCTTGTGTCACACTGAGGTGATTCTCCACTATTTTCAACTTTTCTGTTGTACCACCTCCTTTGTCGTCGCACAGCTGGAGCTTTCCGGTCATTTACGAAAAATGTGCGTTTTCGCTCGTTTGTGATTGGTGAATGATGATGCTATGGGTAACACAAATGCTGATTTTTAGATCTCTAGAATGTTCTCTGGAATATTACCTTCATTTTGATACCTGAACCAGTCAAATAGACCTTGTAGTTCCTGAGATATATGACATTCTTTTTGGGGTGTCATTTTCGAGAACTGTCCAAAAAAATCTTCAAAGAAAAAAAAAAAGAAAGAAAAAAAAAGACCTCAGGCAGTTTGCAAAATATCTTCTGAGAAACAGGAGGTTTTCATTGCTCGTGTGAGTTTTGTTGTCCTGAAAGGAGGTTTGTTTATAATTTACCTTTGTTTACCCTTCCAGGGAGTGTGTTTACACCGCCGGCTCTCCCATCAACAACCGGGCCCTCTTCCCCTGCCAGGAGCCTCCTGTTGCCATGTCAACGTGGCAGGCGAGGGTACGAGCCCCCAGTGACTGTGTGGTGTTGATGAGTGGGGAGGAGGAGGCTGTTCCAACTGAGGACGGGGCCACATGTAAGACCCAGAAGAAGTCAAACTGATTTTTGTAATCAGAAATGTTTGTTAATTGTGTGGTGAAATGTGACACTCCTTGCAGTCTCTTGCAAAAGTACTTGTGACTTTAAAGTTTGGATCTGCGTCATTGCAGATTCTTCCTGCCAGCAGCTATAAGACAGCATAACCATGACTGCACCCGATAAAATCAACAAGTCTTTATAATTCTGCTGTTATTTGGACAGTTTTCCCATTTCCTGTAAATACCAGTCAAATCAAGAATCTGTGGCAAATCTAGAAAAGTGATGTTGAAGAATGCTGTCCTTTCAATGTGACTTGGTTTGATCCAATTTGCAGACAAGAAGGGTAAAAAACAATTTCCTTATGTCTGAATGTGCACAGCTGTAAGAAACAGCTGTGCAGCTAAATATAAGCTGAACTTACTAACTTTGGAAAAAAGACATATATAGCCTGCACTTGTCTGTAAGCCGCAGGTGTCAGCACATCTCAAGGCTTTTCCTTGAGTTTTAAAATATATATATATATTACATTATAACTATTTACCTATTGATTTTTCTCCTTTGATTATCAAAAAATTTGTGACATAAAATAAAAATGCCCTTTTGTATCTAAATGTCCTGTACATACATTTGTGTATGCAATATCCTGTATGTGTAATTGATCACATACACACTTCACCAATGATACCTTGGTGAAATGATTAAGTCGTTTGAAACTCTTATTTTGGTGCAACATGGTCTGGTCTTAGACTTTTGGCATTCGTATAAGAATGTCAGATTCTTTTTGCCCTTTCAGTGGCACTGTGAAAACATCTGGCTCTCCCTAATAAGAGTGACAGAGCTGCGTATTTAGATTGCTAAAGGAAGGAACCATCGCCGTCTTTTCTGTGATAATAATGGGGGGGAAGGGAAAGTACTAAAATGTTAAATTTAATGTGAGTTAGATTATTTATGGTGAATGGACTGAACTTATATAGAGTCACATTCACCCATACATTTATACACTGATACACAGACCGGTAGGCAATTTGGGGTTAAGTGCCTTGCCCAGAGGCACATCAACATGTATCAGGAGGAAGCTGGAATCGAACCTACAACCAACCGATCGCAAGACGACTACTCTGCCATACAGCCACAGTCGCCCCAGTTGTTAGTTGTTTTAGTTGTTAATAGGAGATGAGCTCTTAGTGTCTTAGTGAAGAACTTTTAGTGACTTAAACAGATTTTTCAACCCTCTGCTTGTTTCTACAACCTGACATTTCAAGATATAACATGCACCTACCTGGAATTTTTTTTTTTCATCATCATCACAAACTATCCACATCCCTTCACTCTAAATGTGTATCATTTAATGTTTTGAATGATGACAGACGATTGAAAACGGGTAGCAAAATCTGACCTGAACATGTATTAAAAAAATTATAAAATGAGCAAATGTTTTATGTTTGTACATCAGTTCTTTTATACTTTGCAACTGTGGATATTTTTATTTATTGTACCTCTTTAGATTTCCTGACCTGGAACTATTATGTCACAATGCCCATGCCTGCGTCCACTTTCACTTTGGCTGTGGGACACTGGTGCCGAGTTCCTGCAGAGGCTCCTTCAGCTCTGGAAAACAAGGTTGAAGACGGGGTGGGCTACAGCTGCGTCAAGGCTGAGCTTGTGTCACAACTTACAAAGTCTCCTGGTGAAGTAGTAGGAGGCGCTCCATGTCAGATTGGCAGGTATTTTAATGGTTTTCCTGTGTTCTTTTCTTGTTGTAGGACCTCCTCTTCTCCAGACTGCTATAAACCCAAGTCTGGCCTTCTGCATTTCTTGTTGAAACTTTTCTCTCACCAGACCAAAAATGACTCAGTTGAAGTTAGGGTGATGGATAGTGTTCAGAACATAATTGGCTTTTTATGAGAAATGGGTTAAAGGTAGAGCTGCAGATCATTGCATTTGCTGGCTAGGGGAAATTATCTTTGGAGAGAAAAAACTAAAGACATCATATTTTTTTATAGCAGTACAGGAAATAAAGTTTAGGTTGGAGCCATTAGTCAGCTCCAATTCCCACTGGGCAGGGCAGGGTTGTGCCGGTGTTTCCCTCTCCACTGGCTGGCAGGTTGGCAAGTCTGCCAGTAGTTTCCAGTAATCCTCCGCCTCTACTCATGATTTCTCCTCCAGTAAAAACGTAGCCATAGCACAGAGTCTCTAGCTACTGTATAAGGGACGTCTTTATGCTCATTGAATGGCTGGAAGGAAACTTGGCTGTAACTCGGTACCAATGGAAAGTTCCAGAGGACGAGGACGGAGTAAGTGCTGAATATTGGATTAGGGTGAATGAGACTGCATGTCAGCACTTAAATATTTTGACATATTTGTGGTTTGACTTTATGCAAAAGTATTCATACCCCTGAAACTCTTCCCATATATTGTCAAAATACAACCGCAAACTTAAATTAGTCTTATTTTGATTTTATCAAAAAGACCATCACAAAATATAGCGTAATTGCACAACTGCAAATTGATAGAAGAAAGTGCTGTGGTTGGATTAGATGAGTATGAAACTTCTTGGCCTTAACACTAAATGTGAGAAAAAAAAAATTGTGTATAAATAATGCTAGGAAATCTGTTAGGTGCTGCAGAAGAATTTGAGTTTTGACCAGGACACCAAAGTTAGAGCTGCAATGGAAAGGTTTGGATCATACCAATAATCATGTATTAGAATATTCCAGTCAAACCAGAAAGGTGGTTCTACAAAGTGATGTCCCAATGAAAACATTTATATCTCTTGTTATTGTGTGATCACCTTTTGAAGCTTTAAGTAGTATGAATACATTTGCAAGAGGCTGCAGGTGTTTCCTTAATTATTTTAAAGGGGGGGAAGAAATCCACATAATGAGTTACGTCACTTCCAGATTTGTGTATACTTGAAATGATAAATCCAAAGAAATGGTTAATAATTTTTACGTATTTTTTTCCTTTGTTTTTATCTACCTCAGCAGAGATGAGGCAACCAGCTCAGACTCTGCATTCTGTCACTCTTCCCTGGGGCATAAGGAGCTCTCTTTAACTGATTATTCAGGCATGGATGATGACGGCATCTCTTGTTCCCATGGCGACTACCCTTGTCGGTTTACTGAACGGTCGGCTTGGTCCCAGCGGGTGGTTCCACACCGTGTATTTAGCCCTGCCTGCCTGCTCCGGAAGGCCCAGGTGGGGTTCTGACAACTCAGCTTCGAGACTGCAGCTAATTAGACTTTAAAAGATTAAGGACTGTTACTGTTGCTTAATGTTTATGTCAGAGTGTGATGTGTTTTTCACTTTTATCCCATCAGCATAAATGTTTCTCATTTAACACATTAATTTGAAATATTCGTCTCGTACACAAATCAAAAGAGCTGATCTGACACAATGTTTTACGAAACTTAGGTAAAAGGTGGCGGTAAAGAAATACAGGATATCCGCAAGCTTTTACATATCTCATGTATCATTATGCTCACACAATTAAAACTGAGAGAAGCTTGCGTTTGAATCTTTTTTTTGTTTGTTTGTTTTGCTCCTATGGTTAACATAATTTGTGTTTTTTGGCAGATGGAGATCCTCAAGTTGCTGCCTCAATGCCTGGCTGCAGCCCATGCAGTTCTAGGAGTTCACCCTTTTCCCCGACTTGACGTCCTCATCGTCCCAGCAGGGTTCTCCAGTCTTGGCATGGCCAGGTATTCACTTGTCTGTCTTTAATTAGATGGTCAGAAATGGCAGCCATTTAATGTGAGCAGGTAGCATGGTGGTATGTGAGGTTGATTGTATCGATTTGTATTGGTTTCCTACATAGTCATTATTTTCAAGTTATGGATACGAATAAAACTGAGAAAAAACTGTATGAAAACTAGACCAGACTTTTATTCTTTTCCTCTCACATCTTTATTTCTTTCTCTGGCATCTTGCTTTCTGTTCTTACACTTATCCCACCTTGTGTCTTTTGCGCCATCCTTGTTGAACCGTTCTTCTTCGTGACCTGAATCTTGGTTTTTGTATCCTTTCTCTTTCTCTCTTATCATTTCTTTGTTCTATGTTGTATTCTTCCTAACTTGCTATTCTTTTTTGTTAAATTTCTTCCATGCCCCTCATTTTTCAATCTTTCTTTTCCTTTATCCTTTTAAACTAAATTGTTGTTTAACTGATAAAATAGAAAACTGACAGAATTAAATGACCTGTATTCTTCCTGCCAAAAGGACTGGTTAAATAGCAGATAGAAATAAACTAAAACTAGTTAATGGGTGTAAAAAGTGCATGGCTTCTCTGTTACAAGACTTTTACTCAAATATTAATGTGGGTGTTTAAGCCTGTGTGCATTGCTTTTAACTCAAGTATAACTGATTTGTATTGTTTTTGTCCCCCTTTATTCAAGTTCTATTTAACTTAAGTGATATCCATCTCACTGGTAAGTAAATATAAACTTCCAACCACTAATGTATTGCATATGAAATTAAAGACTCTGAAGCCAAGGGGAAATAAATTTTCCAGTAATCTTTTGCATCCTTGTTAATAGTTGTGCAGTAAGAAAAGAGGCAGAGCTCCTTGACAGAAGGAGCATCTCAAAGCCAAACCACTAAGCCTGGTTAATATGGCCACTGTGTTCCTTTAAGAACTGATAAAAAAATTACAATTCGACTAAAGTCTTTTGAGTTACTTGTGGTTTTTAAGTTGTTTTGAGACTCTGGAAAAGCAGAACTTTATCTCCCGAGATCGTCATATTATCCTGAATGTTAACCTTTGTATGCATTCAGCAAACACAAGCTAATGTTAGACAAGAGTTTGAATTGTGATGTTGTCGACTAATATAGAAATAATCTCAAGTCCAGGATTCAGCCTCTTCTTTTGGACTCCATTAATTCCTGAGGGGAATATCTGACTCATAACTGTTCGGTGCTACAGAATGTTTACCAGCTATTAACAAAATGGTTTGCTAAATAGTGCATGGTGGTTTGTTTACAGGTGGATTTAATGGCCTTTTTTTCTGAAAGCCGCTACCTTAAGCATTTGTAAACAGCTGTGATAAAAAGCAGTAAGAGTGAACTCTAACAGCTAAGTTGCTGTGTGAGTTCGGTGAGGTAAAAGATTCTGAAAATGCTCTACATCAGTGATTTGTGGAGGTGGCAATTATCCGGTTGCATTAAGTGAGACCTTTCACAGCGCATATGGTTATTTTATCTGCTGCTGAAATAGGAGTTTATTTATTTATTGGCAGTTCTTTAGTTTAGCTAATTATTTTTATTTTATTTAAAGTTTTTAAAAACATTTTTTATTACTAGCTTCTACACTTTATTTTGCACATGATATACACATCCCAGTGCTGTTTAAACTTCCTTTTTGCTGAATTTTTCCTCTAAAAATCTCCAGACACTTAGTGTCACATTAATTTTCCAACCTTTTTTTTTTTTACACTGTCTCACTCTGCTTAGTGGATATCCACCTCACTGAATGTCTTTCTGCATATTTCCTTTCTTAGATGTCATTTCCATTTTAACTTGCCAACTCTTCCAATTTGGTACTTCTGACATACTGAGTGTTTTTATTGGCAGAATATATATCTGCCATTTCACTTTTAAATTTATCAGTCAGTGAATGTGCTATTGTTAGAGAGGTATATTTATAATAATTGTAAAAAAGTGTATCTGAAACTTCAATTTCTTATTTTACTTATTGCACCATTTTTCACAATTTTTGTTCAACTATATCCATTTGTTTTTTCCCACTAAAGCATTGGTCTTCTCAATGCTCATTTCTGCATAACTTATTTCTGTTTAAGCTTGGCGTTTTACTTCTTGTTTTTGTCTGCAATTCTTTAAGCCAAAAAACTCTGAACACCAGACCCCGAAGTTTTGTCTAGTGTTGAAGTGGTTTGGAAGCTGATCAACCACTGTAGACGTTTCCACCCTGCATCTTTTGTATGTTTATCCTCATCTTATCATTATTCTTTGCTTTGTTTTACCATCTTTTTTGTTTGAAAACCATCACTGCCTTTCTCATATCCCTGTCTCTTTGCCCTTCACCATTGTTGCTCTCATTTTTCCACTTTTCATCATGTTAGTAGATGAAAAGTAGACCTTCTTGATATTCCATTTTCCATTCTGTTCCCTTCAATTCCATATGTAACCAATAACTTCTTAATCTAGCCTCCAGCATTTGAAAAAGGGTGTCAGTTTTTCTGGAAATCTTGTCTTTGTTTTTAACACAACTGTTTCTGCTTGTATTTTGCCTCCGTGTGGAGCCAACTACAGGCTTGTTAATCAAGATAATTTGAAAATTGATGCAAAATAAATGCCCTTGATGCCTGGCCTTTTTATTTTAAATGTTACTGATAAAGCAGTGTAATTAGAGAGGCCTATTAAACGTCCCAGTGTCTGTGGTCTGCACCACAGTCTCTTTCCTTTTTTTCCTCCATCTGCCTTTCTCTTTCTCGTATGTTGGTCTCCCTTGAGAAAAAAGTGTCCCAGACAGGATATGAGCTCAGACCAGAATTTGTGATCTGCTTTTCTGACGTCATGGGTAAAAGTGGTCTTTGTCAGAGATATTTTGAACGAAAGAGGGCGAACTCGGTTTTGGTTTTCAATCAAAATACAGTGTTTCCTTTGATCAAAGTAAACCTTTACCCAGTGTTGCGAAAACTTGCCTCTGCTATGTTTGCTTTGAATGAACTTCAAGTGCTGACACAAGGGCTGCTGTCTGACGGATATTTTTCTTTTTCTCAGGCGGAGGGCTCCCAGGCAGTTCTCCCTCTTTCCTTAGCTCGGTCGGCTGCTTTTCGCTGCAGATGACCAAGAAGAGATTTAGGGCCTTCATTAAGCTTAGCATAGCACCTGTACTGACCTCCTATAAAACTGTTCATGGTTCTGAGTCCAATGTGAGCTCAACTGTATCCAACCTTCAACACTGGTGGCTCAGTTCTGGATACCAGTGCACAAAACTGCACGGCTGTGCCATGGGAAGGCTGGGAGGTCAACCGAAATTGAAGGGTAGATTAAGACGGAGATGAGAGAGGGAAATTAAGAGGGCAAAGGCAGGGTTCACAACAGGCCAGCGGATCCCCAGGATGTGGGAGAGGATGTGTGGATTATTCCCAGCAACAAAAGCCATTAGCCCCTGGAAGGACTTCAGAGGCTGGTGCTATTTAATCTAGAGATTGGGAGGTATGTGGGCCCCAATTGTTGGGACAGAGCCAAGTGCTGTTTTTCTGTGCAGTACCCCAGTGGAAACAGCAGGAATGGAAGGGGCTTTGTGACCTAAGAGCTGCAGCAAGAAGGCACAAAACTGTTGCAGTGTGAAACATGGAGGGAAAACAGTGGCAAAGGAGGGATAGGAGTCACAGTGGCATGAAGTTGGTATGCTGAGATGCATGAGGAAGGCGAGTAAACCGAGATTAAGAAGTCGGGTAAGGACATGTATATGTTCAAGAGCTGTGACAGAATTGCTGTCCACCCACGAGTTGTTTTCCTTCAGGCAAAGATAACTAAACTTATGAAACTTCACAAGACTGTGCAGCTAAGATCCAGGCTTATAATGGAATATAAAAGCACTAGCGTCTTACCTCTTTTTCCATTCAATAGTGTCATGCAAAGTTCACATTCCTTAAACTTTGTTTTGTACTTTGGAGAGTGGAAAAGTGACTCTAGTCCTTGTAGAGCCACCATTCACCATTTTTGTCTCTCCCTTGTTTTATACATGTAGCAAGTAAAATTTCTGCTTCTTCTTATAGTTCAGACTCAGTTAGATAAAATATATATATATAATTAAAAAAAAAACATATGAATAGCTATTTTTTATGTCCCCCTGCCTCCAACATATTCTCCATTAGACCAAGGTCATGACTTTGAATGGGCCATTTTAACATATACATATCCTTTGATGAACACCATTTCATTGTAGCTCTGGCTGTATGTGTGGCATTGCCACACCTGATGGTGGGCTAATCTTAAGTCAGTTGCTGCTTTCAGTAGGTTTATTTTTACTCATTGCTTGTCCATCTTTACATCAACTCTGGACAGATTTCCTGTCCCTACCGTAGCAATGAATCCCCACATCATGATGCTGCCACCAACATGTTTCACCGGGTGTATGGTGTTTTCAAGGTCATTATTCCTTCCACATCCTATTCTCTCTTTTTAACAGAACTTTGTTTAGCTTTCTTTCAAAAGAGACTTTCTCCTACTGTGAGTCTCTGAATTCTTTCTCTGATTAATAGTCTGTGTTCCTTGTCTTGATAGACATGTATGGTCAGGTTGCCATTTTGCTATACTTTATGCATTTTCAGGTTGATAACTTTACAGGGCATTGCATTAGTAAAACTTAAGATAAAAAAAGTTAACAGATGGGTGGTTAAACATTGATTGGACAGCATGAGGAAGGCTTAAAGTAAATTCTGACACAGATGGGGAATCCCTTACAGTTAAATCTACCACCAGCTTGTATTAAAAGCCCATTGTCGTGAGTAATTGAAAGACATGGGAGTGATGTGAGCCAAAAACTTAAATACAAAGAGTTTATTCAGTGTTAGTCATATTTGACTGCCCACCGTTTGATGAACATAACCAAACAGTATATATATATATATTTTTCACATTTGTACCATTCTTTCCTTTACTTTTATGTGCCTTAGCTCATACTCTTTCTTCCTTTTTTGAATGCGTAATCTTTTAATCGCATCAAGAACACGTCA